CGTAATATTAAGATCTACATTATTTAGTTTATATGTGGCATGGTTATTGTCCTGTCCAACATTTAGAACTTTGCATTTGTCTATATTAAACTGCATCTGCCACTTCTCCGACCACTGCATCAGTCTATTCAAATCTTCCTGGAGTGCTCGAATGTCCTCGTCAGAATGAATTCGACGGCCTATTTTGGTGTCATCGGCAAACTTGCCGATGTCGCTCTTTATGCCCTCATCTATGTCGTTTATGTAGATTGTGAACAGCAGGGGGCCCAACACTGACCCTGTGGAACACCGCTCGTGACGCTTCCCCACTCTGATTTCTCCCCATTTATGCAAACTCTCTGCTGCCTATTTGTCAACCATGCCTCTATCCAGGAAAAAATTTCTCCTCCTATTCCATGTGCTTTAATTTTCCTCAATAGTCTCTGATGAGGGACCCTGTCAAAAGCCTTACTGAAGTCCATATACACAATATCATATTCATTACCATGATCTACCTCCTCAAATACCTTAGTGAAAAAAGTTAATAAATTCGTAAGGCAGGAACGCCCCTTTGTAAAACCATGCTGAGATTCGTTGATTAATTTATGCTTTTCAAGGTGGCTACGAACTGCCTCGGCAATTATTGATTCCATAAATTTTCCCACTATGGAGGTTAGGCTTATTGGTCTATAGTTCGAAGCTAAGGACCTGTCACCTGTTTTGAAAATAGGTATCACATTTGCCATTTTCCACTTATCTGGCACCATGCCAGTTTGTAGTGATATGTTGAAAAGATTTAGCCAAAGGTGTGCTAAGCTCCTCTTTACATTCCTTTAGAACCCTTGCATACAGTTCATCAGGGCCTGGGGATTTGTTAGGTTTCAATTTATCTATTTGCCTAAGGACCATGTCACTTGTGACCCTAATAGTGCACAGTTTATTATCGTCCTGTTCTAACATAATTTATCATTACTGGTATATCGCTGGTATCCTCCTGTGTAAAAACTGAGAGGAAGTATGTGTTTAAAAATTCTACACATTTCCTTATCACTGTCAGTGAGCTGACCCGAGGAACTTTTGAGTGGCCTATCTTGTCCCTGATCTTACTTCTGTATACCTGAAAGAATCCTTTTGGGTTAGTCTTCGATTCTCTTGCAACTTTAACCTCATAATCTCTTTTTGCTTTTCTAATTCCCTTTTTTATTTCTCTCTTTAACTGAATATATCGAATTCTTAATTGCCCTCTCCTCTTTTGATTTGCCTATATATGCCTCTCTTTTGACCAATCAGATATTTTAATCTATTGTTCATCCATTTAGGATCATTTTTGTTTGATCTGATTTCCTATTTGGAACATAATTTGACTGAGCAGCTAGAACTATGCCCTGGAAAGCATCATATCGGCAACCATCACCACCTACCTGACCCTTAGTCAGGTCATTCCAGTTCAGCCCACCTAAGTAATTTTTCAGTCCTATGAAATCAGCCAAGCGAAAGTCAGGGACGGAGACTTGATTGCCATTATTAGGGGAATTCCATGATATATTAAAACTGAGTGATTTGTGATCACTCTCCCCAAGCTCATCATTAACCTCAAGATTATTAATTAGTGTTTCCCTACTGGCAAGAACCAAGTCAAGGAGGTTATTTCCCCGGGCCGCGGGGGCATTGACCCCCGAAACTCTCTCCAGGTAAACTCCAGGAACATACTTCTGAAATGAAATAATATCGTAAGCCGGGGGTCCACTGTATATATATATCCTGATGGTACAGTGCACTTAATACTAGAGAATTTACATGCAGACACACTCAGGAGTAGCATACGCATTGGCCTTTTATTGTTATACATGTACATATATATAACTATTGACATTTTGATTTATCTCTTTAAGGGGTGCTCCTTGATCTTAGTGAAGGGCATTTAACCCCAGAATTGAAACTGCCCTCCCCTTCCCTGGATCAAACTTGATTATGTCCCATTGCCAGGGGGTGTATTATCTCTTAAGGTTTAGTAAGTAAATAAGTAAATTTATTTAGGAACAGGTACACATAAGTACATTTATTATACTTAATGTAAATTACCTAGGATAACTCCAAATAAAGTCAAAGTGACTTATTTCCATTCCCCAGGAATATTATCATTTTTTTTTTCAACAAGTTGGCCATCTCCCACTGAGGCAGGGGGACCCAAAAAGAAAGAAAATCCCCAAAAAGAAAATACTTTCATCATCATTCAACACTTTCACCTCACTCACACATAATCACTGTTTTTGCAGAGGCACCCAGATACAACAGTTTAGAAGCATATATAAAGATATTTAACGTACCCCTCCAAACTGCCAATATCCCAAACCCCCTCCTTTAAAGTGCAGGCATTGTGCTTCCCATTTCCAGTACTCAAGTCTGGCTATATAAAAATAACCAGTTTCCCTGAATCCATTCACTGAATATTACCCTGTTCACACTTCTGCAGCTCGTCAGGTCCCAAAAACTATTTGTCTCCATTCACTCCTATCTAACACGCTCACACATGCTTGTTGGAAGTCCAAGCCCCTCACCCACAAAACCTCCCTTACCCTCTCCTTCTAACCTTTTTGAGGATGACCCCTACCCTGCCTTCCTTCCCCTACAGATTTATATGCTCTCCAAGTCATTCTACTTTGATCCACTCTCTCTAAATGACCAAACCACCTCAACAACCCCTCTTTAGCCCTCTGACTAATACTTTTAGTAATTCCACACCTCCTCCTAATTTCCACACTCCAAATTCTCTGGATAATATTTACACCACAGTGTCCTTAGACAGGACATCTCCACTGCCTCCAGCCACCTCCTCACTGCAGCATTTGCAACCCAAGCTTCACACCCATATAAGAGTGTTGGTACCACTATACACCTACCATCCGACTTATGACCGAGTTCGGTTCCGAGAAACTGGTCGTAAGTTGAAATGGTCGTAAGTCAAACTTTACTACTGAATATCAACAAAACATTTTTGTAATGACTTTATTTTATTGTTTTATTTTGGTATTTCTTGTTTTACTTTACTTTTTATGTTGTTAGTACTGTATTTTATACTGTAAGGCTTAGGATAAACACTGTGTACAATACAAATAGTTGTTTATTTCCCAGAAATTTGGCATAAGAAAAACGGTCGCAAGTCGAGTGGTCGTAAGTCGAGCAGGTCGTAAGTCGGATGGTAGGTGTACTTCTGTACATTCCCTTCTTTGCCTCCATGGATAACGTTTTTTTGTCTCGACAGATACCTCAGCACACCACTCACTTTTTTCCTCCATCAGTTCTTTATCTAAATCATTTGATACCCTCATCACCTTACTCTTATCTATGTAAAATTTTGTATATACAGTGGTACCTCGGGATACGAACCTAATTTGTTCCAGAAGGCTGTTCGAGTGCCGATACTGAACGAATTTATTCCCATAAGGAATAATGTAAATTAGATTAATCCTTTTCAGGCCCCCAAAAATACATTTACAAAAGTGCTTACATAAATACACTTACATAATTGTTTGAATTTTGAGTTGTTCATATCCTGAGGTACCACTGTATCTATATTTTTTTATATTCTTAAGTTATCACGTACATGCAGCAGTGTGTTCCTTAGTGTGATTATTATTATAATCAAGGGGGAAGCACAAAAACCCCATAGGATTATACTTTTGGCTTGGGGGGGGGGAGGGAAAAGGGTTTTTCAGGTTTAACTCGGGGAAAAACTGGACCCACAGACCCAGTTCCTGATAAGAGCCCACCAGCATCAAGGAAAATTCCTTGGGGGGTTTCCCTTTTAGTGGGGACTATTGTCACAGTGGATGAGTCCAAAAATACTCCAACTTTTGGTTTTAATTCTCAGAAAACACTCTTATAAAGAGAGTAAGGTGATTTTTTAAACTTTCTTAAGTAGGTTTTTTTTAATTTTTTTTTTTTTTTGATTTTATTTTTTATTTGTTACAAAATTTTTTGTTAAATTTTAAAAAGGTGTTATTATTCAGGCTCCAAATCGTAGTGCCTTTGACTCAAAAATTGAAGGATCCAGGATTGATCCCCCGGACATTTGGAAATGTTGGGCATTTTGTCCCCCGTTGAATTTCTGCCCGTAGGGATACCCTTGGGTGCTCTTTCTTTTATAGTCCTTTTTTATCAAATGGGCTTGTTTCAGAGTTTTTATCCATTTATGGGGTTTAAAGGGGAAATAAACCTTGGGGTTTTTTGAGCCCCACTGGTGGAAAAGGTTTTCAAAAGTTTTTAAGGAAAACTCGGGGTTTAAAATTGGGAAAGCAAAAAAGGGGATTTGCGTTTATGGTAGGGGAAAATATGTGTGTTTTGCACAAAACTGTTATTCAGTTACCTTTATAAAATTGGGACGTTAAAGTCGGTTTAAAATTTGGGCCCAATTTTTTTAAAAAATTTAAAAAAAAAAATAATTTAAAAATAGTTTCAAAAAAAACAAAAGTTACTATACATTCCCGGGGACTTTAAAACAAAAATTTGGGTCTGTTTTTTAATTAAAATTCCCCAGGTCTCTCCTGTATTACACTTGCCTTCCATTTTGAATTCATAATCACACAAAAATAGATTTACTTTATTTCTCAGAAAATAAAATATAACCAGGAATGATTTGTCATGGTTTACGGTGTCCCAATATTTGAATCAGGCCTATTAAAAACCCATATAACAGACTGGGGTGTAGGGGGTCTTATCCATCATCAGGAAAGAATAAAATATTTCTGCTATTTTGAGCCTAATTTCAAGCTCCTTTCATTCCTAAATCTAACCAAAATCATCTCTATTTCAGTAGTAGGTCTTCCATTCTTTCAAATGATACCAAGAAGGAGCCAATAACAAAATAAGAACTATCCTAGAAAATAACTCAAAGTTGTTATTTTAACCCTTTGACTGTCACACCCCGAAATCCTGAAGTGTCTCATAGTGTCGCAAAATTTTTTGAAAAAAAAAAAAAAAAAAAAAAAATTCTCATGAAATGATAAAGAATCTTTTTCCGATGGTAATTGCACCAAAAGTATGAAATTTGATAGAAAACTTACGGAATTATGCTCCCGTGAAGTTAGCGATCTTGGTGATATATACGCATCGGCGATTTCGCCAAATTTGAGCCCTATTTTTGGCCAATTCCATTGTTCCAGTCGAGCAAATTTATAGCTACTTCTTTAGAACTCCATTTTTTCTATCAATTGAGTATAAGAAACTGCCCATTTACTGATTTCAACTACCCAATAAAGTGGTCATAAATTGGCAATTTGGCCAATTTCACGCAAATTCAAAAAGATGCCAGTTTCAAAATAGGGTCCACAATAAACAATGCAGACATTCTTGGCACTAAAATAACATATTCTCTGTTCATTAGTCACGTCTCCAGGCCCCTCTTATATTACTCTTGCTTTCTATTTTGATTTTTTATTCTCACAAAAAATAGAAGATTTACTGTTATGCAGACTACTGCATTATTGTAAAAATGGTATAAATAATATCAGTGCACTAGTGAAAGAATATTAGACTCCCCAGTTGACGTGTATTGGATATGCGGTGTGATTTGCTTACTCTTGAACATTGGTAAAAATCGAACATTTCCACTACTTTGAGCTCAATTTCAAAGTCGTTTTCATCGTGAAACTAATCAAATCATCTCTATTTCTGTAATATGTTTTCCATTCTATCAAATGAGACCAAGAAAATGAGAATACAACCATAAATACCATACGAAAATACTGCACCTCAAAGTCGGTGTTTTAATCCAAAAATGGTCGGAGGTTTTTTTTCTCATTATGCACCGTGTGCTGCAGGATTTTTTTTATACAGTGCACACTGACCACACAGACCCATTCTCTCACATGTGGGCCTACCAGCTTTCTCCTGCTTGATTTGAAGCCGCTAGAATTATTGAGTGTATATATGTCAGAAACACTGGGTCATAAGACGTATATATCCGGCCGAAACAGTCAAAGGGTTAAACCAGACACAAGGTCAGAGTTATGCTTTTTCCCATCATCAGTAGTTTAAGGGTTAATGCATTAATTAGGGAAGTGAGGGTGCTTGCGAGTGGGAATGGTTGGTGCTGTTGCTCTTGTATTCATTGCTATAGTAAAGCTTTCATTTAGTATTTTTACAACTTTCAGTACATACCGTATTTATTTAATATTTTGACTGAATTTGCTTTGAAGTATATTACATATTTTTACAATACATATTACTTTGCCAAAAAAACTTTAATATTTTATTTTAGAGAGAGATATAGGGATTTAATTGAGGCTGCTGACACCATTGCTGAAATGCGGGAGAGTGCTGAAGCTATCTGCAATAATATTAAGACCATGGAAGGCCTCTGTGAAAGCCTTCAGCAACGGGGTCTTATTGGTTTCAAGACACAGAGCCAACAAAGTGATGGGAAAGATAGGTGTGTTATTACTCACTCAAGATATGCATCAGAGTTCAGCAAACCATCTCCACTGTTTCTTTTAAATTAATAATTGCTTGATTATATGTTTTCAAGACTTCACAGTTGTTTTTATATATGTTTACCCTATTTAAATTTTGTACAGTACAGTATTGTAAATATAATTAGAAATAAATAATTTATACCATGTTAAGAGTACAACACTAAATTAAATTAGAGCAGTACAAAGAAGGAAACAGTTATGGAGCATTTTGAATTTTGCTATATTGTATGATAAAGGGTGAGTGTTAGCCATGAATCAAATTTACGTAAGATAATCTTTCAGGTCACCAGCACCAGACTCTCATTACTCTGTAGCAGTACAGGTTTACCTGCTGGTTAGAGTACCTGAAGCATTGTGGGGCCTCACTGAACACAGTCAATATTTGCCTGCTACACAGCTACTACTGCTTGCTCATCACACTCACACTGCACTCCAGTTGTCTCCCAAAGCTGCTAAGGTATTTGAGGAATGATATGGGAGCCTTGTGTTAGTTTTGGGGGTCCTTCTACTCCTGCATCTCAATCAGTGGTCAGACTTCCCTAGTGAATAATACTTGTTAGTTATAAATGTCTTGTCAGCTTTAAAATGCATAAATAATAAACTTGGTTTAATCACTGTACCTCCATGCATTCCTAACTATATATACTGTCTGTAACCTAATCATTTCTTCCTGATTTATATGATTTATAAGGACAGCAGAGATGCTTGAAAGAATGTATAGAAGCATAGGATTAATGACTTAGCCCTGTACTGTCATTTTTTTTTTTATTCTTCAGTAAATTAACAAAAGTTGCAGCATCTCTTTTGATGTTAACACTTGCTGTAATAATTTTAGTATATTTAGATTTTTTCTAGTAATAATTAGATTTATCTTTGTAATTAGAAAATAAATACTAATTTTGCATCTTTTTTATATCTACATTTCTAGCTTTTTATGTAATTTCAATATAATTATAGTTTTGGTAATTAGTGTCACATAAAGAAGCAAAAAGTGTGTATGTGATGCATCTTTATCTGACTGAACATATCACTTATCAAGATTCATTCAATTAAACACTCAGAACACTTCCAATTTTTTAGGCATAGAATCAATACCCTTTTTTATTCTGTAATTAATGTTCTTTCTTATATGAGTGAATTTTTTTTAAAATCAACTGATACTCTGTTGAGTATTTCTAATCTGAGTTTAATTGCAGTAATATAATGCAGTGAGTGTGTATTTGGTCTGGTTTCTATCCTGTTTTACTCATGAGGCCGAGCACATAATTTACATTTAGTTTGATAATCATCCATGCATATACTGAACTGCCAGAAGTACTTGTAACAAAGCCTATGCTTGACTACTGCAACATCAGTCAGTATTATGGTGACAATCACAGTAAGAAAAGTTTAAGAATACCTACTGTTTTCATATATTTTTAGGTGTTTTCTTGGTTTCCAATTATTGAGCGTCAGTGGGCCAGCATAACACACTTCCGTAGCACAATTGTTCGTGGATGCTCAAATCTTATTAGCTATGAAGCTGATAATGTTCAGGTATGTTTAAAAACTTTGGGTTAAAATGTTATACGATAGAATATAACACAATCAATGTAACATACTGTATATAACACACAATACTGTGTATTGTACTTTATTGATGGATATGTATTTTGAGTGTTTTAAGTGTTGACCTTACTAGGTTTTGCATACAGTATATAACATATCTGTTTTCTTTTTGGAAAATTACACATCTGATCTATCATCGATACATGTGAAATAAATTAAAACTATTAGTCGTTTGAGGCTGATATACAGGAAAAGACATTGACAATATGTAAATTTTAAAGCTGAAGTGCATTTATCCTACCACAGTTTTTCCAGTTCATGCGTGTCATAAGAGGAGACTAAAATGCTGGGAGCAAGGGGCTAGTAACCTCTTCTATATATACAGTATATTACTAAATCTAAAAGGAGAAGCTTTCGTTTTTCCCTTTGGACCACCCTGCCTTGGTGGGATATGGCAGGTTTGTTGAAAGAAAGAGAAGCAGCTCTTCCAGTATTTTTTCTGCTACAAATGATGTTTTAAATATTCAACATAGCTATGTAAACACTGTGCATTATAAGTGTTTCCATTACCATTAATTTTTCCTATTTTTTTCATAAATATATGTACGTACTTTTGATCTGTGTTTATTCTGGAATTTCTTTATTCTGGAATTTCAGTTGTAAGAGGAAGCTCCCTGGCTCAGATAAGCTCAAAAATGTGATGATGAACTGTACAATTTATTTTGCAGGCTGTGTTGGATGCTGTGGTGTCAGTGATGCTTGTTGAGTGCTGTAGCTGTGCTGAGGCTCTCTCTCGTGTCCTCCACCTGCGACATGCTGCTCTCATGGCATCAATTACTCTTAGACCATCAGCCACAGCAAAAGCACAAATTTCTCAATTTACTACTCTGTTTTTATCTTCACTTCATATTATTCATGCAGTATTTGTGGGTAAGTGTAGATGTACTGACTTCACTTCTTCCTGAAATCGTTTGAATGTGTAAATGTTGCAGTTTAAAAACTGTAGTGTAAAGCACCCTTCTGGCAAGACAGTGATGGAGTGAATGATGGTGAAAGTTTTTCTTTTTCAGGCCACCTTGCCTTGGTGGGAATCGGCCAGTGTGTTAATAATAAAAAATAATTTACAATACAGTATTTTATTTCACTTTACTTCACAATAGACATTTAGGTGGCATAATGATTGTGTTTCTGGAAAGTGAAGTACTATGTATACCTGGAGAGGGTTTCAGGGGTCAACACCCCCCATGGACAGGTCTGTGACAGTATTAAAAAAAAAAAAAAAAAAATTAAAGAGTTCAACTGATACAGCAATGGGAAGATAGCGGCTAGGATCCTATATATGGGAAAAATGCTAAATAGTCTTTAAAACTTAATAGATATGTGGGTAAATAAATTTTTAATTTTTAATACATATCATTATGTTAACCCTTTGACTGTTTTGGTCATACATATACATCTTACGAGACAGTGTTTCAGATGTATATATACTCAATAATTCTAGCGGCTTCAAATCAAGCGGAAGAAAGCTGGTAGGCCCACATGTGAGAGAATGGGTCTGTGTGGTCAGTGTGCACCACATAAAAAAAATCCTGCAGCACACAGTGTGTAATGAGAAAAAAAAATGATTGTTTTTTTGGATTAAAACGCCGACTTTGAGGTGTATTTTCGTATAGTATTTATCGATGTATTTGCGTTTTCATGGTCTTAGGTGATAAAATGGAAAACATATTACAGAAATAGAGATGATTTTCATTACTTTGACGAGGAAAACGACCTTGAAACTGAGCTCAAAGTAGCGGAAATGTTCGATTTTTACCAATGTTCAGGAGTAAACAAATCACACCACACGTCCCATACACGTCAACTGGGGAGTCTGATATTCTTTCACTAGTGCACTGATATTATTTATATCATTTTTACAATAATGCAGTAGTCTGCTTAACAGTAAATTTTGTATTTTTTTGTATGAATAAAAAATCAAAATAGAAAGCAATAATAATATAAGAGGGCCTAGAGATGTGACTAATGAACAGAGGATATGTTATTTTAGTGCCAAGAATGTCTACCTTGTTTATTCTGGACCCTATTTTGAAATTGGCATCTTTTTTAGTTTGCGTGAAATTGGCCAAATTGCCAATTTCTGACCACAATATTGGGTAGTCCAAATTGGTAAATGGGAGGTTTCTTGTACTCAGCTGATAGATAAAATGGAGTTCTAAAGAAATAGCTATGAGTTTGGTCAACTGGAACAACAGAATTGGCTGAAAATAGGGCTCAGAGTCGGCGAAATCGCCGATACGCATATGTCGCCGAGACCGCTAACTTCATGGGAGCATAATTCCATGAGTTTTCTACCAAATTTCGAACTTTTGGTGTCATTACCATCGGGAAAAGATTCTCTATCATTTCATAAGAAAAAATAATTTTTTTTTTTTTTCAAAAATTTAGCGACATAGAATGACAGTTTCAGAAAGGGGCCTGAAACAGTCAAAGGGTTAATGGTGTACTATACTGACAAGTAGATAAATAAGACGTGTAGATTTCAGTCAAAAATAGAGGTAATGAATGTATTGAAGACTGTTGAAGATGTATGATTTTGAGATGTTTAATCCCTCACCCTTGGTAGAAGTGGACAAGTTATCTCGAGTTGTCTTGAAGTAGTCATGTCAGCCTAGACAGAAGGTGATCATTTCCATAGCTTTGGTCATTGTGGTTAATCAGATTGATTGAAGCTATGGATCTGAACAATTTGCAGCTGGGATGGGGGGCTGAATACCCCCAAGATGACTTTTCTACTTCTATCAAGGCTAGGGGACTGAACATCCCAAAATATACACTTTCTCAATTGTTTTGGTATATTAATCACCTCTGTATTTGATTGAAGAAGCCTGCTACATAGGTAAAACATCTTGGCAATAAAGACTCCTAAATGTTTTAGATGTGTTTCATTTACCCATCTTTTTGTAATTATGATAGATCTTAGGGTGGAGTGGTGTAAATAATGTAACAGTAATGTGGATGTTGGTGAATTTGCTGCAGATTGGCGAGTTGTTGACCTGTGTAGAGGTCTTGAAATAGTCACTGTTGTGATCTGCCTTGTGATAGTTGCCAAAGACTTGTAAAACTAATGATAGGGAACTGTTTCTGCCTGGAGAGATTTGAATGCCAGGTGCTTATTTATGTTAGCATCTGTCTTAACTAAGCATTCACAATATTAGTATCATGGCTTTGTTCACAACATACTTGTATATTTGACAAAAAATTTGCCTTCCAGTTGTTGTATGCTTTAATCGGAATCAGATTTCAATGAGAAAATCAAGACAATACAAAAATATTTAAAATATCAAATTTAAGTTCTAAGGATGAATTAAAGGGACTTAAGGAGTGTCTTCAAGAGTTATGGCATGAATTTGCATGACAGGACATTTCAGGAATGCATTGTGTGAGGCCAAAAGACTCACCACCTGGAGGAGGAGGAGGTTGCCTCTGGTGGTATTTCCTTGGATGACTAAGTTCTTTAAATCTCTTGACTTTATTTCTGTAAATTAGATAATGGCTACTCTATATCCTGATATAGGTTTTATTTGCTGTACATAGTTTAGCAATTATATCATTCACAGTAAAGGATAAATACAGTAGATAAGAGAGGCATCTAAACATTTGTGCTATACATTCTTTAAGTACAGTATTAAAGAATTGAACATCCAGCAGGTTTATGTAGGCATGTTAGGAAAAAGTGAATGGAGACAAGTGATTTTTTATTGATGTGCTGTTGAGTGTGAGTGAGGTAACATTGATGAAAGGATTCAGGGGAAACCAGGTAACTGAGCCTAAACCCTGGAGGTGGGAAAGGTAGGGCCTGCACTCTGAAGAAGAGGTAGAGATTTTGCAGTTGGATGGCAATCTGAATTGTGATGTTAACACATTTCCTGCTTGACAGTAATTGAAAGAATGATGGTGAATGCAATTTCCTGTTATTTTGGTCACTCTGTCTTGGTAGAAGACAGCTGTTGAGATCATTTTTTTTTTCATTATTTAAATGTGGACACTGTTCATTGTGTTCAAAGATTGTAGATACATTGACAATGAGCTTTCTTGGTGTAACAGGAGTCGAAGGAAAAAGTCTGCTTGAGAAACGGTTGCAAGAGATAGTGCAAGGTGAGGGTGAAGGAAGCTCCCCAATCTCTCTCTTGCAGGAATCCTCACTCACTTTATCTTTTCTTCCACAATCTACCAGAAATTTTAGGTAATGTTTATTGATCTGTTATCCTCATAATAAATATTTATATGTACACCTACCATCCGACTTACGACCGAGTTCGGTTCCGAGAAACTGGTCGTAAGTCGAAATAGCCGTAAGTCGAACTTTACTACTGAATATCAACAAAACATTTTTGTAATGACTTTATTTTATGGTTTTATTTTGGTATTTCATGTTTTACTTTACTTTTTATGTTGTTAGTACTGTGTTTTATACTGTAAGGTTTAGGATAAACACTGTGTACAACACAAATAGTTGTTTATTTCCCAGAAATTTGGCATAAAAAACACGGTCGTAAGTCGAGCAGGTCGTAAGTCGGATGGTAGGTGTATATGTCTCATACATTTTATATGTACACTCACCTGTAATTTATTATTTCACCATTCTCCTGTTTATATATTTATGATTATTTTAAAACATTCAATCATCTCTAATTAATATTTTTCTTGCATGTATGAAGTAATTTTATTATATTAATATCCCTCTTAGATTATTGAAAATGTTACTGTTTATATCCCTCTTATAATATTAAGAAACTGAATAAAATAATTGGAAGCCCTAAAATATGGTCGTTCTTGAGTGTGTAATGATAAACAACACATGAATTCTCTCCCCAGGACCCAGTGTTCAAGGCAGCGCAAAGCCTCTTGGAAATGAGTTGGTTAAACAGCAGGTCGTCATCTGGTTGAATAAGGTGCTAGATGAGGCTTCAAAAAATTTGGCAACACTGCTTTGTAAGTTTTATCATGTGAAAAGTGGGTAATAATAAGTGTTTACACACCTAGGGAAAAGAGGAGGGTACAGGAAAGAGGGAGAGAGAGGGATTTTGGGAGTTTTGAACCAAGTAAGAAAATAATTGTTGTATGGAACCTAAATGATAAAGTGGGAGAAACTGTTGTAGAAGGCATAGTAGGTAAGTTTGGAGTTCCAGGGATAAATAATAGGGACCTCTAATTGAACTAAGTATACAAACATTTGGTAATGGATAACACATAATTTAAGAGGATAAATAAGTATGTGATATACAATAAAGGGCATGATAGCAGTTTCTTGGACTATGTATTAGTATATAAAAGGTTGATGGGTAGGCTTCTGGATGTTAAGGTTTTTAGAGGGGCAAGAGATAGATCATTATTTAGTGGTAGCTACAGTGAAAGTAAGAGGTGGTTGGGATACAGGGAGAATGTCATCAGTAGGAAAGAGAGAGAAGTGAAAGTTTATGAATTAAAGGAGAAAGGTGGGCTAGATTGAGTACAGGTCATGACAAGGGGGCTTGGACATCCAACAGACTTCTGTGAGTGTTTTAGATAGGATTGAGTGGAGACAAGTGGTTTTTATGATTTGACATGCTGTTGGAGCATGAGCAAAGTAACATTTATGAAGAGATTCAGGAAAACCAGTTAACTGGACTTGAGTCCTGGAGGTGGTAAGTACAGTGCCTGAAATAGGGGCGAGGCCATTGCAGTTTGGAGGATTATTTTAACTCTAATATTGGTTCCTTTTTGGCAAGATGGTGATTGAATGAGTGATAGTCAGGGTGCTTTCTTCTTTGTTGAGTTACTCTATTGTAGTGGGAAATAACTGGAGAGTTAAAAGAAGTTATTATTATTATTTTTATTATCACACTGGCCGATTCCCACCAAGGCAGGGTGGCCCGAAAAAGAAAAACTTTCACCATCATTCACTCCATCACTGTCTTGCCAGAAGGGTGCTTTACACTACAGTTTTTAAACTGCAACATTAACACCCCTCCTTCAGAGTGCAGGCACTGTACTTCCCATCTCCAGGACTCAAGTCCGGCCTGCCGGTTTCCCTGAACCCCTTCATAAATGTTACTTTGCTCACACTCCAACAGCACGTCAAGTATTAAAAACCATTTGTCTCCATTCACTCCTATCAAACACGCTCACGCATGCCTGCTGGAAGTCCAAGCCCCTCGCACACAAAACCTCCTTTACCCCCTCCCTCCAACCTTTCCTAGGCCGACCCCTACCCCGCCTTCCTTCCACTACAGACTGATACACTCTTGAAGTTATTCTGTTTCGCTCCATTCTCTCCACATGTCCGAACCACCTCAACAACCCTTCCTCAGCCCTCTGGACAACAGTTTTGGTAATCCCGCACCTCCTCCTAACTTCCAAACTACGAATTCTCTGCATTATATTCACACCACACATTGCTCTCAGACATGACATCTCCACTGCCTCCAGCCTTCTCCTCGCTGCAACATTCATCACCCATGCTTCACACCCATATAAGAGCGTTGGTAAAACTATACTCTCATACATTCCCCTCTTTGCCTCCAAGGACAAAGTTCTTTGTCTCCAGAGACTCCTAAGTGCACCACTCACCCTTTTCCCCTCATCAATTCTATGATTCACCTCATCTTTCATAGACCCATTAAAAGAAGTGTATCTAGAATAATCCATGTGCTACCCTACACAAAGGTTGAGTAGGGAATAGTATATATATTTAACGGATACTGACAAAAAATAGAATTACTACATTCCGCATATGCAGTTCTATTAATGTTTTTTCAATTTGCACTTGTTCAATTGTTTTTCTTATCCTAATTTGAATTATGGATGAACATCAATTTATTGCCACAGTTGTTACAGTACTTTAATTGATTTCATGGTATATTTTTTCACTATTGTGACTGTTTCCAGCATTTACCACTAGTATCAAGGCACTGGCAATGATCAGGTCCAGTGTGTGGGAAATCTGCCGAACCAGACTAGATAGAGAACATTGGAACAAGGTGAGGAAGACATGCTGTGGTAATCTGTAATTTTCTTGGCATTTTAAGGGTTTCATTCATGCTTATCTTTCATTTGGAGAAGACCTAAACCAAGCTTCTCAGAATGCTTGACTTGAAACCATATTTTGCTCACCTTGCCTATGGAGGAGCAGTAGTACAGCCTGATTAAATTTTCTTCAGAATATATTGGGGTACATTTTTTTTTTGTCCTTCAAAACATCAACTGTTTTAATTAGTTATTTCATGTGTTACAAGATACAAGTTGTCTTGTTGTGCATATTGTTCATCGAAGTGTATGCAGTATAAAGAATATATAATTTTTGTTGATATAAAATACTGTATTATAAGTAGTCAATAATTTCAGATCACTAGTGCTCTGTATGGGGCCAGCTTCGACCCATGGGACTCTGTTGTTCGAGGCCAGGTGACAGAAAGGGCACGGCAGGTTGTTACATCTCAACTGACAGTATCAAAAGAGGCCATTGTTCAAATGGTGGCCAGACTGACAAAAGATATCGCTGCAGATCCCAAGTAGGGCATTCAGTATATTTTAGATTTTCTTTAAGTATTGTAACTCTGTTTCTCATAGTGAATTTTGAAATTTCTTTGTAAGTGTTGCTAGCTCTCACCATTCACACTTCCAGTAACTAGGATAAATATATATGCCAAAAACATTAGTTTAATAGATAATGTTTCTTGGAAGTAAATTTTTTTACACCATGCAATGTAAAAATCATTAGTAATTATCCGTATCCCTGAAACATTTCTGGTGACTGATTCGTGACGATTTCCAGAAAATTTTCAGTACTCAGATTGTACATTATAAATCTCTCTTCATTTGTTCAAATTGGAGAATCCACAAATTTACTCATCTCTTTTTTTTTTTTGAATAGTGTAAAGTTTTGAGTAATAAATACAGGATTGAAGTTCAAATTGTAAAATTTCAGAATATGCATAGAAGAAGGAGACATCAGCAACTTTGTTTGGAGTGAATCAGCTGGGGATTTACCTGAGCGAATTGGATGGACCTCATCTGCTGCTCGCTCTGTTGCTCAGTCAGGAGGTAAGACTCCAGGGTCATCCACACTCCCTTCAAGAGTAACTGGAGCCAAGAAAAGAGTTGTAATACAGTAGGAGCAATTTAATCAAATCATCTCAAATTATTTATATCTTTTCTGCAGTATGCAGGTAATGTAATTTACATATGATAAAATATTGATAGGCACAAGAGAAAGCCACTAGTATGTGGTGCATTTTGGGCAGACTAATCCTAAGAACTAGACATGGGTTACCAAGTAGGCGTTGTTAAATGTACTAAGCAGGTATTCAGCCTCAAGTCTTTGAGAGAACCATAGCAGTAGATTTAAGAACAAACTTGGGTAAATGGAGTAAATAAATTTTCCTTTAAAAAAATGCAGTGATGCTATAGAAATTTGAACTCACCATATGTAGAAATAAACAAGAAAGCATTCATTGAAGCCTGCTTACTCTGGAATTCAGGGCATGAAGAACATTTTAAGGAAGATACAAGAAGTGTTTGATGTATTAATCTTTTTCCACTAGGCCTATACTACAAAACAAGAGGCTACACGAGTCGATTACAGACTGTATGTCGAGCACTTAACTCTAGGTTGACAGCTTTACTTCAGGATGTTGCACACTTCAGTTATGGTAAGCTTCTTAATGTTTATGTATGAAAAAGATTGTTTGTCGGATTTTATTACAATAATTCTTTATTAACTGCAACCGCCCAGGGAGGTACTACCGTCCTGCCAAGTGAGTGTAAAACGAAAGCCTGTAATTGTTTTACATGATGGTAGGATTGCTGGTGTTCTTTTTTCTGTCTCATAAACATGCAAGATTTCAGGTATGTCTTGCTACTTCTACTTACACTTAGGTCACACTACATATACATGTACAAGCACATATATACACACCCCTCTGGGTTTTCTTCTAGTTTCTTTCTAGTTCTTATTCTTGTTTATTTCCTCTTATTTCCATGGGGAAGTGGAACAGAATTCTTCCTTCGTAAGCCATGTGTGTTGTAAGAGGCGACTAAAATGTCAGGGGCAAGGGGCTAGTAACCTCTTCTCCTGTATATATTACTAAATGTAAAAGAAGAACCTTTCGTTTTTCCTTTTGGGCCACCCCTCCTTGGTGGGATATGGCCGGTGTGTTGAAAGAAGAAAGAATTCTTTATTAGATATAACAGTCACATAGGCTTGCTATTTTGTAATTTTTTTTTTCCTCTTTCAGGGTTTTTATGTATTTGAATAAATTTATCCCACAGAATCTGAGAAAGGAGACTATCTTAGTGTTAATGACAAAAATAGCCCATCAGAGCATGAAAAAAATAGTGCCTTGGAAGATTACAGGACCCTGCTTAGCTTTCTTCAAGATGCCAGTTGCTCAACTTTTATACAGTAAGTTTTAATTAATTAATAGTGTTCACTTAAGCACTTACCTAGCTACTTCTTTTCTAAATAATGTTTAGTGTACATATTGTAAAAAAGTGTTTGTCTGATGTTATTTTTAACTGCAATTGTATTTGGTATCAAAGCAATAAGTCAAACACTTAATTATAGCTTTGGTTTTGGTTTATACAAAATATTCTCTTGGAATACTGTGCTAATACAGTGGACCCCTGCATAACGATCACCTCCGAATGCGACCAATTATGTAAGTGTATTTATGTAAGTGCGTTTGTACGTGTATGTTTAGGGGTCTGAAATGGACTAATCTACTTCACAATATTCCTTATGGGAACAAATTCTGTCAGTACTGGCACCTGAACATACTTCTTGAGTGAAAAAATATCGTTAACTGGGGGTCCACTGTACTGTGATATTTGTAAATGAAATGTGATTGGGAAAAGAAATAGTGGAATGGAAGATAGAACTGCATTAACCCCTTCAGGGTCCAAGGCCCAAATCTGAAGTGGTGCCCCAGTGTCCAAGAATTTAAAAAAAAAAATTTGTTACTTTTTCTTATGAAATGGTAGAGAATCTTTTTGTGGAGGTAATAAAACAAAAAGTACGAAATTTGATGGAAAATTGACAAAATTATGCTCTCGCGAATTTTGATGTGTCAGCGATATTTACGAATCTGCGATTTTGCCGACTTTGACTCCCAGTTTAGGCCAATTACATTATTCCAGTCAACCAAATTCTTAGCTATTTCACTAGTATTACTTCTATTCTATCGATTGAGCACAAGAAATTGCCAAGTCAACTGTTTCAACTACAAAATAAAGTGATCAGAAATTGTTAATTTGGCCAATTTAACACAAAGTTCAAAATATTCCAATTTCAAAATGGGGTCCAGAATAAACAATATAGGTATTCCTGGAACTAAACTAACATTTTCTCTGTTCATTAGTTACGTTTTGAGGCTTTACAAATAAATTCCATTTTGATTTTTTATTCACATAATGAATTTTTATTCACATCAAAAAATAGAAGATTTACTGTTATGCAATACTGTAATAAGTGTATAAATATCATCACCATATTTGTGAATGTGTATTAGACCCACCAGCTGGTGTGTATTAGATGTGTGAGGTCGTTTGTTTACTCTTGAATATCGGCAAAAATTTAACATTTCCGCTACTTTGAGCTCAGTTTCAAGCCATTTCCAGTGCTAAAACCAATCAAAATCATCTCTATTTCTGTAATATGTCTTCCATTCTATCAAATGAGACCAAGAAATCGCAAATGCAACTATAAAAAACATACGAAAAAACACTGCAAAGTCACTGTTTTAATCGAAAAATCATGATTTCAGTTTTTTTTCTCTCATTATACACAGTGTGCTGCAGGATCTGTTTTATGTGGTGCACACATACCACATAGATGTATTCTCTCATATCTAGGCCCAAATGTACCACTCACAGTTTATCAGAGTGAGCTGAGCTCATGACGTAGATCTACGGTTTGGACCCTGAACGTAAAGCCGTAGATCTACAGGACGGGCCCTGAAAGGGTTAAACCTAGAACTAGGTACAAAATGGGAATTTGTTTTGTGAATAAAATTAAAATTGAGTTATAATCCAAAAGAAAATGCATAACATCTTTATATTCCATGGGTCTTTGTGTTTTTTGCAGGCTAGTGAAGGAGCTAGAGGAACTAGCTCCACATCACATCTCATCTCCAACTTCTCAGATCATGGAAGGCTGGGATGATGATGCGTCTGGTATTGCTCCATCGATACCCTTAACCATTACTGCAGTGGTGGGTCGCACATGTCAAGCTCTTCCTAACATTTGCTCCCAGATGCAAATTTGTGCATCAGCATCAAATCTGGTAAATCCAGATGTAGCAAGGGTAAGGTTGGAAATATAAGCTCTCATTACAGATCTATTTTTTTTTATAAGATTTATGCTAATGAGGTGTCATGGTTAGCCAAGAAGAGATAATATACTGCTAATTTACCTGATGTTTTATATCTTTTTTTTTTTTGTCTGTTATTTTTTTGCTAGCTGCCATACAAGATAGCCTCTCTGTATTGCTATTATTATTGTTTTGATACTAGGTGGAGAAGCACTAAAGCCGTACAAATTATATAGCGCTATGGGAAAAGGGAGGAAGTCAGGTTCAATCCAAGGAGGGTAGAGAAGGTCCAGTTCCAGCATTAAGGCACATTACTTGAGTGAAGCCTCCGTAGTTATCTCTACTAGTCACACTTATTTGAAAATTTTGCTAAATTTTTAATCTAGGTTCTCCTCTTTCCTGTGCTCCTTCACTAAGCTTGGGGCATATTGGATTGTCACAGAAGTTTATTGCTCCTTTCCTTAAGTTCTGTGTTTATCATTATCAAAATAAAATTTCATTGCTCATACTAGTTTAATGGTATTATTTTTTGACGTGTGCTTCTTAGTGTGAATGTAGTTTTGTATGATACAATAGTTTTAGCTTGAGTCTTAGTGTGTGTGTAGTTGTATATAACTTTTTTTGCCAAAAGTGCTTAACGACCTTATAGTTAAAGGGCTTTGTAAATGTCTCATCTTCCTTCCTTCCTTCCTTCATTCAAGTAATGTGATACTCTATTTGAATGCAAGGTATGGCAGATTCATATTTCCTTACAATCAAGAAAGACCTTACATGGTATTGATTTTTTTACATTTGCAGCGTGTCTCATTGGGATCGAAAATAGAATCCGAATCTTGGACAAAGGTTCGTTTGGAACTCCAAGAAACTGGCAGCCGGCTGTTTGGCCGTTTTCTGAAATCGTTAACTTCCGCCCTTCACACAGAGTTAAAGATGTACCTCACATCAGAGCTTTCATCAGGAGGAGTGGCTGCTTCAATCAAAGCTTTTCCAGTATGTTTTTTTTTCGTGAGCTGCACCTTCCTCTGTTTAATATTGTGCGTACTGATGTTCAAATAAGTTTAATATGATTAAATTGTATGAAATAATTTGATTATAGCAAGCTGTTGTATACAGAAATTGTTTTAATTAAAGTCATGGGAGATGGTAGACATTGAAGAGGAAGGTGAAGGGGGCATTGTTGTGAAGTCTTCAATCCATGTGCCAGCACATCCAACCCCAGCTCTCACACAGGCACTGGGTAGACTTTGTTCTTCAGTCAACTCTGTGGCAGCTCACACCATTACCAGGTAATATATATAGGCACCTACAACTAACATTAACTGGAGGATAATGGTATTCTTCTTCTTTCAACAAACAGGCCACATCCCACCGAGACAGGGTGGCCCAAAAGGAAAAGCAAAAAGTTTCTCCTTTTAAATTTAGTAATATGTACAGGAAAAAGGGTTACTAGCCCTTTGCTCCCGGCATTTTAGTCGCCTCTTATGACACACATGGCTTACAGAGGAGGAATTCTGTTCTACTTCCCCATGGAGATAAGAGGAAATAAACAAGAACAAGAAGGAGAAAGAAAATAGAAGAGACAGAAAAAAGACACCAACAATCCCATCATCATGTAAAACAATTACAGGCCTTTGTTTTACATTCATTTAATGTACTGATAGTCTCTCACTGAGGTAGGGTGATTCCCCCCCCCCCAAAAAAAAAAAAAATAAAAAAAAAACATTTACCATCACTCATTCAGTAGCTGTCTTGCCAGAAGGATTCAGACATCATACTTCAGATGACCGCCAAACTGCAATATCCCCACCTCTCCTCCATAGTGCAGGTAATACTTCCCACCCCAAGTACTTAAAGTTGGTTAACAACTTTTCCCAAATGCTTTCATAAACAAAATGTTTTGACCACATGTTAAGTATCCAAGTTTAAGATAATTTTTGGCCTGTTTTCTTGACTGAATGATTAGATGGTTTTGGGATATCCCTGATCTGAGTGAGGAGAATAGAGATCAGATTAGTTGGTTCCTAACTTATCTCACCCTTCCTCTTTTTTTTTAATCTTCATGCTAGTTTATGATTGTTCCCTACTACAGCTTGGCTGAAGGTAACATGACTGGCACATGATAGGCAGTCTGAGGCTGGAGCATCCAGCACTACTTGCACTGAATAACCCACATGAGTCTTTCACTCCAAATAGTTATTTAAAGATGTGAAACAGTCTAATGAGATAATTATATTTTATTAGTGTAATTTTTGTTTGTTTATTGTTTTAATCATGCATATTTTATCAAAATATTCAGTGATATGCATTATATGTTAACTTTGAGGTTTAATCTTATTATTTCAGAAATGCCCAGAGTGAATTGGCCTCAAGTGCTTGTGAAGCTGTAACTTCTGCATATGAAAGCTCACTGCTTGATCCAGGACAGATGACTCAAACCTTGGCACTCCAGTTCATTTTTGACTTGAAATTCGTACAGACAATTCTTTTACCTCGTGATAATAAGGCAAGACATTTTTCAAGTGTTTAAATTATTTTTTTAACACATTGGCCATTTCCCACATTTAATGGGCAACCCTTACTGGTATAGTAGTATAAGTTTCTGAGTTCTGTAGTAACATATACAGTATAAACAAAAGTTTGTATTCACCACCAGGAGATGGGCGCTCGTCTAACAGCCATGGTTTTGGAACTAGAGCAGAGAGTTGATCCATTTGATCTTGATGTATTTGCACCTCATGTATCAACCAGGGTAAAACTATCTGCACACAGATCACAGGTTAGTTGTGTAATGCTCATTTTGTGTTATACTGGACTTTAATCAGTAGACAAAAAAGTTATTTCAGTTTGCAATAGATTGGTAAGTTGTGCCATTCATTTTGTTTATATTAAAATGTTCTTCTCAGGTTATTAAGCTGAGGCCAGTCATTGTAGAGCCTGGGTCTCATAAAAATAATGTAGGCACATTTCAGTTTGGCCATAATGTTGGCACGTTTCAGTTTGTCTTTAAAACTATAAACTGTGGCATTTGTTAAGTTTTAGTCAAGATACAGCTCAGGTTATTACATACTATATGTTAGGGCAAATGATGCAAGATCTCATTGTGTAGATTATATAAAACTAAACACTGCAATAAGTTTAGTGATGAAATATTTAAAAAAACACTAATAAGTTGAGAAGTAAATCAGTCATAATCATATACTACTGGAACATACAGAATATATACTTGACTAATGAGAATGAGGCACAGTATTGGTAAAATGTTGATATACTATACATAGGATGTCATTACTGATAAAAACTTTAGAACAAAAATATTTAATGTTAGCACAGATCACTTTTTTTATTATATACACCTACCATCCGACTTACGGCCGAGTTCGGTTCCGAGAAACCGGTCATAAGTCGAAATGGTCGTAAGTCGAACTTTACTACTGAATATCAACAAAACATTTTTGTAATGACTTTATTTTATTGTTTTATTTTGGTATTTCATGTTTTACTTTACTTTTTATGTTGTTAGTACTGTATTTTATACTGTAAGGTTTAGGATAAACACTGTGTACAACACAAATAGTTGTTTGTTTCCCAGAAATTTGGCATAAAAAACACGGTCGTAAGTCGAGTGGTCGTAAGTCGAGCAGGTCGTAAGTCAGATGGTAGGTGTATTTGTACAGTATTAGTATCCAATAAAGTTGTTACACATAAGTGTTGTTGTGCCTTCTATAAAATACAAGCATTTGATTTTGTACCTAATTTTTTTCAACATGAACATGGCAGTGTTCATCATTTAGATTAACATTGTTAATTTTTTAAACACATTGGCCATCTCCTGTCTAGGTAAGGTGACTCAGAAAAAGAAAATACAATTCCAGAGACTCTTTGAACTGCAACCTCCCCACCCCTCCTTTAGAGTGCAGGCACTGTTCTTCCCACCTCCAGGACTCAAATTCTGGAAATTAGTTTCTCCGAATCCCTTTATAAATGTTAACCTGCTCACACTCCAACAGCATGTCAGGCCATAAAAACCACCTGTCTTCATTCACTTCGAACTGAAATGCTCTTATGAGCCTGCTGTGTGCTAAAGCCCCTATCACTCAAAACCGTCTTTACATCTCCCTGCTCCTTGCTTTCAGCTCTTCCGGGCATGACCCCTACCTCTCCTTCCTCTAACCCCAAATTTATGCACCCTCTTGGTCATCCTGAACTGCTCTTAATCCACAAACATCCCTCACCAACCCCTCCTCAGCCCTCTGGAAACTCCACACCAACTTCTAATTTCTAGAATGCTCTGAATTCTCTACATAATATTCACACCACACAAAGTTCTGAAACATGACTCCACTGCCTTTAGCCTTTTCTTTGCTGCAGCGCTTACATTAATTTTTTATATATCTAATTCTCATGGTACTGTGAAAATCATAAGGTAAATAATCCAGCCTAAGTGGTAAAAGCAATATCTTCATTTAATATGTTAAAAAACATACTTGCTTACTGGTACACTCCGTAATATGTGCTCTATGTGAGTTTGTGCTATGCCAATTAGTTGTTATGCAATGTTCCTTTTCTATTAGTAATTCAATATATGTAAAATACATTCACTGTGTGATCACTGGAATTCACACAATGTTTTGAAAATTCATTTTATGTGGAATTTAATTGTTCGTGCCCTGATTGAGCTTAGTACAGCTATCATTGGCCTACAGATATTTTCTATATCAATGAAGAGGAGTAGCCAATAGCCAGATAGCATTTTGATAATAACAAATGAAGTAAATGTCTGGAAACAAAACTTACTGGGGCATTACTTCAAAATGACATTTAAAATAAGAGCAGATTGAAATTTGAGTTTGGACATTGTAATAATGTAGTACTGTAATTTAATAACCAGCACAAGGCCTAAAATGCAGATTTCTAAATCTGAGATTGTGGTGTCCAGGTGGTTCTGGGAGCTGTGTTATCAAGAGATCGCCAGATTACAATGGGTCGACTTTCAGCATCATCATCATCTGGTGCATCACGCAATAATGCCCTTCCACTCGTCATGCCTGTGGAAATTCCTCGATTTTCCAATGTACCTCTTCCTATTCCTTCTTCACGACCCTCTATTCCAAGCTCCATCTCTAGCCCTTCTCTCTCACTTGCTGACACCATTGGTGACAAGACTTCAAAACAAGATACTTTGAAGGTAAGACAAATGTTTAGTGTGTGTGTATATGTATCTACTGGTATGTATGAATGTATATATGTTACCTGTTAGGAAGAGCTTGTGATCTTGGCCCATAAAGCAGTGATCATTTTTCTAAACAAGCAAGAGTGTAAAATCCTTGTTTCAGTAACTCTGCATATGTCAGTCTGAACATTTTGAGATTAATATATTTCACTGATAATAATAGTAACTAAATTTAGACAGCCCTGAGATACATTTTATAGGAGTCAGTTAAATTATCTTGCATAAATTTTAGCAAAGTTAGGTCAAATTACTAAGTTTTGCTTTAAAAATTAAAATTTGAATATCATATAGATTTGTATATAATATTTATAAAAATATACCTATGAATGTGTTTAAGAAATTTTCAGGAATGATCTGTTTTTAGGGAAGTTTAGTCTATTTGACCTGAATAGCAAGCAGTACATTTATATACTCTGTGTATGTGTGTCTCTTTGTGTTTGTCTGTTTTTGCGTGTATGTATGTGTTTGTTTATTATTGGATTATATTCCTTGTTAGAAATATACCATGTTTCATAATTTTAATTTGATTTCCTTGTGAGATATATGATAATGTTTCTTAAGTAAAACTGTGTTACTGAATTATGTTTGTCATTTTATGTATACGTATAAGGGCACTCATACATTATCATTGTTTCAGCACATATATGTTATCTCCACAGAGGAGTACTCTTAAGTATGTTACTATTTCACGTGTGGCATGAAATTAATAATACTGTGTATAGACTTGCAATGAGAAGTGATATTTTTGTTTGTTTTGAATAACAAATTACAGTAAGCTGTAATGGTGTATGCATGAACACATTTGCAGACCCACAGACAAAACACACACAGCTACACCGTAACCAAGGCAAGAGAAAAATTACAGTAAAAGATCAGGTGATAATAATGAAACAATGACAGAGGTGTGTCAAAGGAACTCATTATAGGATTCCTTAGCTTCTTTACACCTAGGAAAAGGCAACTAAAAGAGGTAGAAAGGAAATGGGCAAACCTCACAAAATTATTAAGTTATGAGGCTCTTAGTGTCTCTTGAAGAGTAGGTACATAAAAGGTAACAACACCTAATAGAATAATAACATAGAGAGAGAGGAACAAAATAACTTTGCAAACCAGTCATCTACAGAAGAGAGTATCAACACACTTGAAAAATGGGAAGTTTTCTATAATTCCAAGAATAAGCCTACAGTTGACTTATGAAAATAAGACAAAAGAGAAAGATGAACAGGCTATAGGAGTGGTGCAATTGGTACCAGGCATTCAGTCCCAGTAGGTGCAAAGTAATGAAATTGGACACTGGGATAAAAGACCACAGAAAAAGAGCACTAGCTGGGAGGAAAACATTACATAGACACAAATAAAGGATAAACTACGAGAGGAATAAATATTACACCATACTTCCTACATGTAAGAGCACTTTAAGTGGAATTATCTATGCAGTGGTATTGAAGACTCAGTTGAAAGATGGAGCAGTAGGTCTAAGAACTTAAGTTCACCCAAATTTGAGTATGTAGCTGTGGTTCAGTGTCTTCATGTAAGTGGTTTCATTCAAAGCAAAAGAGGAATTGTTATTCAAAATAAATACCAGTAATATTAGTAGCTGTCAATCCTACAAGAATGCTTGGATAAAATGAGAAAATGGAATCATAGTTTGATGATGAATTTTAATGTAATAGAAATGGAAGAAAGTTATGACAGACTACATGAAAAATATGTATTGTGTGTTTAAATATTGAAAGTAAAAGACAGAGATTTCTTGGAATAATTATAGACAAAAGACTGTCAACAGAAGTTCCTGTGAATGCAGTACATAGTGAAAACCATGTACTACCTCTAACAGACTTCCAAATAACTAGTTGTAACCTTTGCAAAGAAATATAATCTTTATTCTTTATTATTTTTATACATGGATGGCAAAAGATAATAAAGTAATTCCCAGCTTAGGTTTAACAAAATTATTCAGCAGTGGTGTGGTGTTCATGCCTAAAAAAAAAGAAACTGGATACTCTAGAAAAGTCCAAAGATATGTTACAAGATAGCTCACAATTCCAAGAAATATGAGTTACAAAGAAAATCTGAATATGCTTAAAATTTGCTTGTTGGTTGATAAGACTTACAGAGATATGATACCCACATATAAGACCCAAAAATGGTAAGTGGAAAATAATGATTTTTTAGCACCATCAACAAGAAAAACGAAAGGTAACAGTTATAAACTAAGCAAAAACTGGTGCCAAAAGAATGCTACAAAGTGTTTGCTAATAATGGTAGAATTCTGAGTTGAGATCCAGAAGGTACTAATATAAGACTTGCCGGATGGTATCTCAGTAGAATGGACAAAGATTAGATAAATGGCAAGACAAATTTTCTGTAGAATATTGTAAACAAATATTGTAGTGTACTTGCCTATGGTAGTTGTGCTTTGTGACCCATATAGATTTAGCATTTTTTGTGATTAATAATAATAATAAGAATAGTAAATACTATGGACAGATAGATTGAAACATAGAATTGGAAAAGTACATAAATACCATAGTACAAAGCTAGGTATACTGTAAATAGTTTTTACTCATGAAATGAGGGAAGGCACCTTGATGCAGGTGAAGGGCTCTTGATACAAGGAATTAGAGCTGCCCCACTATGCCTTGTATCAGTTCTGATTGCCTCCCATTCCATGAATATATTATGAATATATTATAGTGGTTTTTAACCCTTGCATTGTTGGTGCCGTAGTATTACGGTTTACAAGCCAGTGTTGGTGCCATAGTACTATGCCAAAATTCTAGAGGCTTCAGATCTAGCAGGAGAAAGCTGGCAGGCCTGCATGTGAGAGAATGGATCTGCGTTGTCAGTGTGTGCAGTATAAAAAAAATTAGGGCACTCGCATTGCATTGTGGGAATGCTATTACAGTAGTCCTTGTTTACCATGCCTCGCAGTAAAAAATATCTCACTCCCCAGCAAATTGGGACTCTTCTCTTCCCAGGTGATAGTTCTAACACAGATAGAGGTGTTAGTGAAGATGAATTTCATGGTTTTTGAGGAGTTTGTGAATAAAAGCAATGCCCAGGATATCAGAAATAGTGCTGAAAAAACAGATGACCATCAAACTAGGATAACCTAAAAAAGCCAGACAGAGTGACTTATTTCCATGTGGGTGGTGGGGAAGACAGCATACTTATTGGGGAAGACAGCATACTTATTGGGGAAGATGGTGTGGGTAATAGGTGGTGGTGGTTGTAATGCGTCATTGTGACATCAGCCATGCTGCTCTCAGCACATCCACAACAAAGGCCACCCACACACAACAACCTTCCACAAGCTGTAGCAGTTCTAGGAACATGTTCAGTGACTCAGTATGTGTATATATGTATACATGTATATATATAGAACAATATTAATAAACAACTTTTTTTTTTATTGTTGGTTTGTGCAAACAGGTTTTTGTAAACAATGTAATGATATATGTGCGGTTGTGTTGCATACGAATGGATATATATACATTACACATTATATTGGTCTCACAGGCCACAAAAATTACAAAATATTAAAAAATAAAAGAATAAAATAGAATAAAAGTAAAAATAATATTACTGAGTGAGCGGCAGTCGCTGATGTTGCCGTAAACGGTTCACTTTCTGTGAACTTCACGCTTCTATATCTCCGTAAGTACTGATCACAATTTTTTTTTTTTTAAATGCTCAGAAAAATATTCTTAAGATTTTGGTAAGAAAAAATTTTTTTTTTTCAAAAAGTTTTCGACACAGAATGAGTTTAGGATAAGAGGTCTTGACAGTGAAAGGGTTAACAGTCTTGGGAGAAAACATAAACAAATTTATGTAGTATGGAGGAGAAGTGGAGTTGTGATAACAATAATGGTTTAGGATTTGTTGTCAACTACTTAATATAAATTTATTTTTATTATTACAATCAAGGGGGAAGCGCTAAACCCGTAGGATTATACAGCGCCTGTGGGGGGGAATGTAGAAGGTATTCAGGCTTAATTCAGGGAACTGGAGCACAAACCCAATTCCCCAGATCAAGAGCACCTTACCAGTGTCAAGGAACCTTCTCTGAGAGGATTATAAATTTAGAATGTATGCAGTGTGGATATTTTGCCTGTGAAGTTTGTGGAAAGAGAATAACCTTTTTGGTTAATGTATGTTATAACCCAGCACTAGTACAAGGGACTTGAGAACCCAAAACTGGTATACTGTAGTGTATATTTATTGTTTTTATTAACACATTTAGAAGTTTTATTTATTTGGTGTATTTTTACATTTTAAAGTACTGTACGTTGCACTTAAAGATATGTATACTCCGAAAAAGACATTATACAAATTATTGTGACGCACATTTAACCCTGAAATAATAGTGAACCTACATGGTAAGAATTTATGTATAAAATTAAGTAGTCTTGCTCATTTTCTTGCGCAAATGTGCAGCTATCTTAGCAGAAACCTTTGTAAGAGTACGATTGCTACTGTTAACAGTTCCTAGATGCTAATGTAGAATATATCAAACATTGTAATAGTGAATTGTATGACACTTGTTTTACAAAATTACTATGTATTTTCATTTGTAATTGTACGTATATGTTTCTGTATTGTGTACACGTTTTTAAACACCCTATATTTGTTATTGGGGTGAAAAGAGTAATTATTACTGGGATATTTAAAAAAATGGTTATTTTTTCTCTGTTTTTTACATTTTTAATTAACAAATTAGCATGGTGATGACCTGTGTGTATCTACATGTTTTATGGTCTGTCATAATTTTAAAGCTTATCAGCATGTGATGATGGTATGTTGATAATTAGTTTTTATTTATGGTAACCGAACATTTATTTATCAGCAGTTTGAAGTAATGTTAGATTTCTGGAACTACAAATTTATTGAAAACTGGTCTATAGTTATTTGAGTTCTATGAGAAGTCAAAGAAGTGATGTTATGTTCTGTATGACTTGTTATACTGTATTCTTGTGTTTTGTTTAACCACTCAGGCTGAGAGTAGTCCATCAACAGCCCACAGAGAGAGGTCATCAGCAACCTTGTCAGCGTCCCGCAGTGCTGCCTCACTCTTCTCTGCTATGAGTTCCTCTTGGTTTGGTTCATCATCATCATCATCTTAAAACTCTTTGATACTTCTCCATTAGTTGTTATCCAATTACAAATTAAGGTTTTATGTGGATGAGTTAATTAAAGGTGCAAAAATAAATAATTTACAGTTATTTAAAATGTAGTAGATACACATAATCTATTGTTATTTCATTCAATAAATTGTAATTAATTTTAAAATATCTTTTTTTTCCTTTTAATACTTTTTTCATTTGAGAATCTTTATGCATATGTGAAAATGCTAAACATCTTTATTTTTATTTATTAATGAGGAAGCACAAAATCTGTAGGGGTCATGTAGTGCCAGGGAAACAAGAATGGTTCCAATTTCTCATTTTTAAACAGCAGCTCGGGTTTAGTGCTTAGTTTGATTATATTAAAAGGTGCTAGACCTATATGGGTCACAATGCCTGGGGAAGAGGAGGATAGGTAAAATTCTGTGAATGAAGGTACTGTATCATTAATGGGTTTAAATACCAATAATAATAATATAATCAGACTAAGCACTAAACCTGGAAATACCAATAATTACGTTGCATAAGAAAAAAAAAAAGAGGTTTTTAGTATTCCTAGAATAATCTCAGTTTTAGAAATAAAATTAGAATAAAATTAGAATTTTAAAGTTACTCATAGATGCACCAAAGTTTGGGTAATCAGACCTAAAAGTTTATTCTGCAAATGAAAATATATTAATAATGATCACATTATTTTTCAATAGTGTGATCATTATTTGAAGACATTAATTACATTGTTTTGACAGTTGTACCTGAAGTGGGGAAATGGTTAAGAAAACAAAAAAACGGATGAATGCTATTTTTCTTAGGAATGTATAAATACTATACCAAAGGATTTGAAAATAGTTTACAAGTACTCCTGCTGGAGTTAATGCTCTTATTGCTGCTCAGTTATCATATTACATCATGCTTTGTTACAAACTGTCAAACAGAACACTTAAATTATTGTACCAACATCTGCTGTGTACAGCATCATCATAATATAAATAAAATACATAATTATAAAAAAAACATTTACTCTGATAGGAATAATTTTCAGCAACAGATGGTGTATACATAAGCTTCAAGCCTTGAACTAAAATTTTAAGTACAGTACAGTAACTGTATATTTCCCTCTTACACATTAACTCTTAAACTGGGCATAAAGGTGGCGAAGACATTCCTGCTGAGGTAATGGTTTGGTTAATAAAATTTCCCTAGTATTATAGCTTTTGTTCTGCGCTGTATGACCATTTTAGGTTTAGCGCTTTTGATAATATAGCTTTTGTGAAATTAAATACTGTATAATTACAGAAAAAGTGTAAGAACTGACACATTACCATTATATTAGAAGTAATTATATTACATGTGGTATGTTTTATGCCTAGTTATGCAGTGTTATACAATCCAATATAGCAATCAAATATGCAGTACACCAAACAGTACAATATTGTAATATGGAAATCATAATATCTGTTAATATTTTTTTTATAGGGACAGTGGTCCCTTGAGTTACAATGGAGTTAATGCTAATTTTGAGTTATGACTTGCTCTCGTAAAAAAATTTAGTTTCAAGTTGCGATAAAAAATTGAGACATGATATGCATTTGTTATATAATTATGCCATCTTTTGTTACTGATTCATCATGGCTCCTAAAGTGCACAGTAAATGGGCAACTTGAAAAAAATAATAAAGACTAGCCAGTGACAGTTCACTAACATGAAGATAGGTTTACACATTTCATTTGTTTTATTTACTACCCTTACAAGAACATTATATTGCATGTATATATTGCATATATACTGCATCCATATTGCAGCACTTATGTCACTGCGATCTGGATTACTATTATAAAATACCATCAATCTTTTGTTCCTTCTTTAAATGTGTTCTGACCTTGTGACTGCCAGAATATTAAACACACACCACACAAATAACCCTCACATAGGAGAGAGGAGCTTACAACGTTTTGGTCTGACTGACCATTTACAGTCACACTAAGATTATTTTTTGACAGACAAGATTTTTTTTGCATAAAAAAAATCTTGTCTACAAATTGCATTATATGGCACTTAATCTGAGCTTCCTATGGTTTATGCTCATACAGTACTGTATATACAGTAAATCATGCCCAGTGGCCCATATGGTTATACATGGATGATACATATACTATACATTGGTAACACCCAATTTAAGAGTTAACATTTTATATGTGCAAAACTCTGTTACAAATTAAATGATGAAAAATTAATAACTTTGATAAAATGGGTTGTCAAAATAAAATATAAAATAGGTATCACTGCTTAAACAGGAAGTGGAAAATACACTTGTGCTTATGAATCCTATATAATACAGCTTACTTTCATTTTCTGTAATTCGCTTTGTACGAATTCATGCGGCCACCATATTTCTATCAACAATTTTTTTAAACAATATCTCTATAAATATTATTGAACTGGTTTATCATGACATTCAGAAGAAAGACTGAGTAGACAGAAAACAAATTTGGGCTTGGGAAATCCAAAGAGAGAGTTACAAACAAAACTCTATGTCTTGCACCAAGTCAAAAGATGGACACTAAGCCAAATGAAGTTGGTTACTCTGACATGAAGTTTAGGTGGAGGGAGGAAATAGTAGTAGGGAGATACATAGCCACAAGTTCATAATGTGTGTACTTGAATCCAGACAAAGACAGGTTGGTGGAGGGAGTGTAAATTTATTTTTTAACAATTTTTTTTTTTTTGAGGGGGGGGGGGGTCCAGTATGTGGCTGCATTTGGAGCCAATCTGGTATGCTCCAGTTTTTTTGGTAAAAGTAGAGGAATACAGATTTTTTTCCCAATTTTATACTGAATGGAGATTAGCTTTGAGTTTAAAGATTTTATTATAAATTTATTTTGGTAGAGGATCATTTTGTGCATGTGTGGCAAGCTCATATTTTGGTAAAAAAATTGTCAAGGAATGTGAAATTTGTAGTCTGAACGAATCTCTTACACGTTTATACTGGGTTTGCTTATGTGAATTTACTTTATGCAAGGAATGTAACTATTGCAAAGTATGAATTGCACCTAAATGAGTATTTATGGAACTTTGTAGGATACATATATTGTGATAACAACATGGCTGTCTAAATAATGATAATTTTTCATTTAGCAGCAGATGTCTTAGCAATGATCTCTCCTAATACTAAGCCAATTTATTACACTGTGTGTCAGTTCTCACTTGGCAATGTTAACTAATGGCTTCAATATGGAACAGTAGCAATGTTGTACATCAAGGCTACTGGTGCCACAAAATTTTGACTTGTGAATGTACTGGCTCATGTTGAATGATTTTCTGTCTCCTACAATGAAACTTACATAATACCAAACTTATATGCAGAATGCTAACACTGCTTGTTCTTAACTTGAAAGGGACACTGCTATACAGGTGCATATTTTGTGCTTAAATATGTCATGTGAAATCCATCATAATTAAAAATAATATATACAAATGGAATGTGCATTAGATATTTGTCAAAAATAATTTTGGAGTGACAAAACCAACAATTTACTTATGCTCATCGTATCAGAAAATGGGTAAAATTTTAAGTATGGATAAAACCTTTGCTAAACCTAAATGATTTTCAAAGAAACAGAATCTTGTATAATATTTTTCTTACTTTTATGGTGTTTGCAAAAACACAACTTTAAAAAAAATCTTAATTTATTACTATAATCACTAAAGCACTCAACCCTTAGGAGTTATACAATAATTGGGGAATGGGAGGCCATCAGGTTTGATCCAAGGAAGGAAAGGGTAAGGTCAGCTCCTTGGATTAAGAGCCCCTCACCAGCATCAAGGCACCTTTCTTGAGAGGAAGAAATTCCTAAGAGATATCAAAACTGCTGTATCTACTTACAAAATACAGCTGATAAAAGATGGTTTCTTGAAGTGAATTTAATCACACATCTCTTGCAATAAACATGTCGTGCTACGATTCCAAAAATTGATAAGTTAGGAAATAATTTTATGCAAAAAAAGAGAGAAAATACAATAATCAGCAAGACTTATGAATTATTTATGATTTACAGCTGCTGAAGTTATAATATCCATCATTTCAAAAGTTCATACCATAACTTTGGTGGTCAACATTTTCAAAGTTATAAACACCAAATCACTTCAATAAATTGTTATGCAAGACTAAGGAAAAAATTATTTTTAGATAAAATAATACATATTTATTGTTTGTTAGTGTAGTATTTCTTTATGAACTTTGAAAATGATGAAATTAATACCTTAAAGTATAAATAGAGAGAAATTAATGATTTATACTTCTATGTCACATTACTGGAAGAGTTCATATAGAAGTGTTCGATTCTGGTACACTACCAAGGCTATCAGCACCGTCACAAAGGTTACCATCCAGGTTTTCCAGGGAAACTGGAAAAAATATAATAATGGTGAACCAATTATAATTATACAGATAAAGTATATTTTTGTGACTAATGAAATTGGAATAAAGTTTCTACAAAATATCAGTATAATACTGGATATCTATTGCATACAGTAATATTATACTTACACTTTTGATAACTGGATATCGCGTATCAGACTGAGTCGTGTTCTTCTTCAAGCCTAACATACGTCTGTAGAGAGATTTCTCAGATTCAGCCTCAATTCGTGCCTTCTCTCGCATCTTTGCCAATTCTTGGTGAATGAGGCGTGATTCAGGTTCAAGCTCAAGTGCCAGCTTTAGTAAGGCAACAGATTCTTTCATTTTTCCCTGTATCCCAAGTACCTGTAACAATTGTAATAATGTTGGTAGAATTACCGACAATATGTAAAGTAAAAGGACACAAGTGCAACTAATGTGACATTTTATTGTGGCAACGTTTTGCTCTCCAGGAGCTTTGTCAAGCCGATACAAACAGTATATGGACACAGAGGGTATATAAAGACTCAGAGTGAGGTGCAATACTAGTGAGGTACCATTTCGATGTTCAATAGTGGTAGTAGTAGTAGTACTGACAATATGGTAGAGCAATTAATTCGTACATGAGTAAAAGGATATAAAAGCTATTACTTGGGTAACATAAAAATAGGTTGGACAAATATAGACTGGATAGAGGCAGCCTTTTCCAGTGTTCACTCTCTGTGATGTGCTTTGTGTAGTATAACAGGAGAGACTATGTGATGGCAGGGTTTACTGTTTTCAGGAGGATTCTCGCTAAGACTTCAGAGATGGTGAAGCTGCCGTTGTTTTGTTTAATTGTATTCGAAACAGCGATCAGTGCTGATTCGAGGCACTTGCGTCTGCGAAAATTAGTTTCTTTGATCACGAATTGGGCGTCCCTGAATTTCATGAGATGACTGGTGGAATTTCGGTGTTGTACACAGGCTTTGTTCAAGTTATTGTTCCTACATGTGTAAATGTGTTCAGTGAGGCGGGTGTCGAGGTTTCTTGCTGTTTCAGTAAACCCTGCCATCATATAGTCTCTCCTGTTATACTACACAAAGCACATTACAGAGAGTGAACACTGGAAAAGGCCTTCTCTATCCAGTCTATATTTGTCCAACCTATAGCTTTTATATCCTTTTACTCATTATTTTTTTATTATTATCACACTGGCCGATTCCCACCAAGGTAGGGTAGCCCGAAAAAGAAAAACTTTCACCATCATTCACTCCATCACTGTCTTGCCAGAAGGGTGCTTTACACTACAGTTTTTAAACTGCAACATTAACACCCCTCCTTCAGAGTGCAGGCACTGTACTTCCCATCTCCAGGACTCAAGTCCGGCCTGCCGGTTTCCCTGAATCCCTTCATAAATGTTACTTTGCTCACACTCCAACAGCACGTCAAGTATTAAAAACCATTTGTCTCCATTCACTCCTATCAAACACGCTCACGCATGCCTGCTGGAAGTCCAAGCCCCTCGCACACAAAACCTCCTTTACCTCCTCCCTCCAACCCTTCCTAGGCCGACCCCTACCCCGCCTTCCTTCCACTACAGACTGATACACTCTTGAAGTCATTCTGTTTCGCTCCATTCTCTCTACATGTCCGAACCACCTCAACAACCCTTCCTCAGCCCTCTGGACAACAGTTTTGGTAATCCCGCACCTCCTCCTAACTTCCAAACTACGAATTCTCTGCATTATATTCACACCACACATTGCCCTCAGACATGACATCTCCACTGCCTCCAGCCTTCTCCTCGCTGCAACATTCATCACCCACGCTTCACACCCATATAAGAGCGTTGGTAAAACTATACTCTCATACATTCCCCTCTTTGCCTCCAAGGACAAAGTTCTTTGTCTCCACAGACTCCTAAGTGCACCACTCACTCTTTTTCCCTCATCAATTCTATGACTCACCTCATCTTTCATAGACCCATCCGCTGACACGTCCACTCCCAAATATCTGAATACGTTCACCTCCTCCATACTCTCTCCCTCATGTACGAATTAATTGCTCTACCATATTGTCACTACTACTACTACTACCACTAGTGAACATCGAAATGGTACCTCACTAGTATTGCACCTCACTCTGAGCCTTTATATACGGTCTGTGTCCATATACTGTTTGTATCGGCTTGACAAAGCTCCTGGAGAGCGAAACGTTGCCACAATAAAATGTCACATTAGTTGCACTTGTGTCCTTTTACTTTACATACCTGTAACAAGAATATTGAATATCTCTAAGTATTAAAGAAATAGTTCTGCTCCCAGCAACAATAACACTCATTATCAGTAAATAGTTACACTTAACCTGACATAACTCAAGCTCACCTTGCCTTTCCTGAAGAGTGCCTTTACATTATTAGGTTGGCACTTTAACACTGTATCCAAAGATTTCACAGCCATATCATATGCTTCAACTTTTATTTGTGCTGCTCCCATATTATTTAAAGCCTTCAAACGTTCGGTCAATATTTCTTGCACCTCGGGTCTCACATTCTCCTGTGTGAGTAATTAAAAGTTATATTTGAAAATATATATTTTATGAAAAAGAGGATAAATAAATATACAAGGTATGATGTAGCACGTAATGAAAGTAGTTTGTTAGATTATGTATTGGTGGATAAGAGGTTGATGGGTAGGCTCCAGGATGTACACGTTTATAGAGGGGCAACTGATATATCGGATCATTATCTAGTTGCAGCTACAGTTACAGTAAGAGGTAGATGGGGTAAGAGGAAAATGGCAACAACAAGTAAGAGGGAGGTGAAAGTGTATAAACTAAGGGAGGAGGAAGTTTGGGTGAATTATAAGCAACTATTGGCAGAAAGGTGGGCTGGTGCAGGTATGAGTAGTGGGGGGGGGGTTGAAGAGGGTTGGAATAGTTTTAAAAATGCAGTACAGTGGACCCTCAACCAACGATGGCATCGATTAACGATAAATCTGACTAGCGATACATTTTAATGCAAAAATTTTGCCTCGACTAGCGCTTAAAAACCCGACCAGCGCTATTCGTTCCATACCATACGCGTCCACTTTGGCCTGAGCGCGCCTCACTTGTCCCTTTGGTGCCAGCGTTTACAAGCCAGCCAGCCACCGCGGTTGCTTCCAAACATACAACTGGAACATTTCATATTATCACAGCCTTTTTAGTGATTGCACCTGCAAATAAGTCACCATGGGCCCCAAAAAAGCTTCTAGTGCCAACCCTACAGCAAAAAGGGTGAGAATTACTATGGAGATGAAGAAAGATATCATTGATAAATATGAAAGTGGAGTGCGTATCTCTGAGCTGGTCAGGTTGTATAATAAACCCCAATCAACCATCGCTACTATTGTGGGCAAGAAAACGGCAATCAAGGAAGCTGTTCTTGCCAAAGGTGCAACTATGTTTTCGAAACTGAGATCGCAAGTGATAGAAGATGTTGAGAGACTTTTATTGGTGTGGATAAACGAGAAACAGATAGCAGGAGACAGCATCTCTCAAGCGATCATATGTGAAAAGGCTAGGAAGTTGCATGACGATTTAATTAGAAAAATGCCAGCAACTAGTGATGTGAGTGAATTTAAGGCCAGCAAAGGTTGGTTTGAGAGATTTAAGAAGCGTAGTGGCATTCATAGTGTGATAAGGCATGGTGAGGCTGCCAGTTCGGACCACAAATCGGCTGAAAAATATGTGCAGGACTTCAAGGAGTACATAGACAGTGAAGGACTGAAACCTGAACAAGTGTTTAATTGTGACGAAACAGGCCTGTTTTGGAAGAAAATGCCAAGCAGGACGTACATTACTCAGGAGGAAAAGGCACTCCCAGGACATAAGCCTATGAAAGACAGGCTTACTCTGTTGATGTGTGCCAATGCTAGTGGTGATTGCAAAGTGAAGCCTTTATTGGTGTATCACTCTGAAACTCCCAGAGTGTTCAGGAAAAACAATGTCCTCAAGGATAATTTGTATGTGCTGTGGAGGGCAAACAGTAAGGCATGGGTCACTAGGGACTTTTTCTATGACTGGTTACATCATGCATTTGCCCCCAATGTGAAAAATTACCTAATTGAAAAGAAATTAGACCTTAAGTGCCTCCTGGTATTAGACAATGCTCCTGGTCATCCTTCAGACTTGGCAGAGCGACTTTCTAGGGACATGAGCTTCATTAAGGTGAAGTTTTTGCCTCCTAATACCACTCCTCTCCTGCAGCCCATGGACTAGCATGTTATTTCCAACTTCAAGAAACTGTACACAAAAGCTATGTTTGAAAGGTGCTTTGTAGTGACCTCAGAAACTCAACTGACTCTAAGAGGGTTTTGGAAAGATCATTTTACCATCCTCAATTGTGTAAACATTATAGGTAAGGCTTGGGAGGAAGTGACTAAGAGGACATTGAACTCTGCTTGGAAAAAATTGTGGCCAGAATGTGTAGACAAAAGGGATTTTGAAGGGTTTGAGGCTAACCCTGAGAATCCTATGCCAGTTGAGGAATCCACTGTGGCATTGGGGAAGTCCTTGGGGTTGGAGGTTAGTGGGGAGGATGTGGAAGAGTTGGTGGTGGAGGACAGTGAAGAACTAACCACTGATGAGCTGCTAGATCATCTTCCCCTTCTAAACACTAACACCTCTCCCCTCCTCCCATCCCATCAATCATCACCAGATCTTCAATAAAGGTAAGTGTCATGTAACTGTGCATGTAATCTTCAGTTTGTGTGTATTAAAATCAATATTTCATGTGGTAAAAATTTTTTTTTTTTATACTTTTGGGTGTCTTGCACGGATTAATTTGATTTCCATTATTTCTTATGGGGAAAATTAACTTGACTAACGATAATTCTGACTAACGATGAGCTCTCAGGAACGGATTAATATCGCTGGTCGAGGGTCCACTGCATTAGAATGTGGGGCAGAAGTTTGTGGTTATAGGAGGGTGGGGGCAGGAGGAAAGAGGTGTGACTGGTGGAATGATGAAGTAAAGGGTGTGAAAAAAGAGAAAAAGGTAGCTTACGAGAGGTATTTACAAAGCAGAAGTGTTATAAGAAGAGCAGAGTATATGAAGAGTAAAAGAAAGGTGAAGAGAGTGGTGACAGAGTGCAAAAGGAGAGCGGATGATAGAGTGGGAGAGGCACTGTCAAGAAATTTTAATGAAAATAAGAAAAAAATTTGGAGTGAGTTAAGCAAGTTAAGAAAGCCTAGGGAAAGTATGGATTTGTCAGTTAAAAACAGAGTAGAGGAGTTAGTAGATGGGGAGATGGAGGTTTTGGGTAGATGGTGAGAATATTTTGAGGAACTTTTAAATGTTGACAAAGAAAGGGAGGTGGTAATTTCATGCACTGGCCAGGGAGGTATACCATCTTTTAGGAGTGAAGAAGAGCAGGATATGAGTGTGGGGGAGGTGCATGAGGCATTACGTAGAATGAAAGGGGGTAAAGCAGCTGGAACTGACGGGATCATGACAGAAATGTTAAAAGCAGGGGGGGACATAGTGTTGGAATGGTTGGTATTTTTGTTTAATAAATGTGTGAAAGAGGGGAAGGTACCTAGGGATTGGCGGAGAGCGTGTATGGTCCCTTTATATAAAGGGAAGGGGGACAAAAGAGATTATAAAAATTATAGAGGAATAAGTTTACTGAGTATACCAGGAAAAGTGTACGGTAGGGTTATAACTGAAAGAATTAGAGGCAAGACAGAATGTAGGATTGCGGATGAGCAAGGAGGTTTCAGGGTGGGTAGGGGATGTGTAGATCAAGTGTTTACATTGAGGCATATGTGTGAACAGTATTTAGATAAAGGTAGGGAAGTTTTTATTGCATTTATGGATTTAGAAAAGGCATATGATAGAGTGGATAGGGGAGCAATGTGGCAGATGTTGCAAGTATATGGAATAGGTGGTAAGTTACTAAATGATGTAAAGAGTTTTTATGAGGATAGTGAGGCTCAGGTTAGGGTGTGTAGAAGAGAGGGAGATTACTTCCCAGTAAAAGTAGGTCTTAGACAGGGATGTGTAATGTCACCATGGTTGTTTAATATATTTATAGATGGGGTTGTAAAAGAAGTAAATGCTAGGGTGTTCGAGAGAGGGGTGGGATTAAATTATGGGGAATCAAATACAAAATGGGAATTGACACAGTTGCTTTTTGCTGATGATACTGAGCTCATGGGAGATTCTAAAGAAAAATTGCAAAGGTTAGTGGATGAATAAATAACAAAAAGGCACAATACCGTGACTGGAACGATACACAAATAACCCGCACATAAAAGAGAGAAGCTTACGACGACGTGTTAGTGGATGAGTTTGGGAGCGTGTGTAAAGGTAGAAAGTTGAAAGTGAACATAGAAAAGAGTAAGGGGATGAGGGTATCAAATGATTTAGATAAAGAAAAATTGGATATCAAATTGGGGAGGAGTAGTAGGGAAGAAGTGAATGTTTTCAGATACTTGGGAGTTGATGTGTCGGCAGATGGATTTATGAAGGATGAGGTTAATCATAGAACTGATGAGGGAAAAAAGGTGAGTGGTGCGTTGAGGTATATGTGGAGACAAAAAATGTTATCTATGCAGGCAAAGAAGGGAATGTATGAAAGTATAGTAGTACCAACACTCTTATATGGGTGTGAAGCTTGGGTGGTAAATGCAGCAGCGAGGAGACGGTTGGAGGCAGTGGAGATGTCCTGTCTAAGGCAATGTGTGGTGTAAATATTATGCAGAAAATTTGGAGTGTGGAAATTAGGAGAAGGTGTGGAGTTAATAAAAGTATTAGTCAGAGGGCTGAAGAGGGGGTTGTTGAGGTGGTTTGGTCATTTAGAGAGAAGGGATCAAAGTAGAATGACATGGAGAGCGCATAAATCTGTAGGGGAAGGAAGGCGGGGTAGGGGTCGTCCTAGAAAAGGTTGGAGGGAGGGGGTAAAGGAGGTTTTGTGGGCGAGGGGCTTGGACTTCCGGCAAGCCTGTGTGAGCATGTTAGATAGAAGTGGATGGAGACAAATGGTATTTGGGACCTGACGATCTGTTTGGAGTGTGAGCAGGGTAATATTCAGTGAAGGGATTCAGGGAAACTGGTTATTTTTATATAGCCGGACTTGAGTCCTGGAAATGGGAAGTACAATGCCTGCACTCTAAAGGAGGGGTTCGAGATATTAGCAGTTTGGAGGGATATGTTGTGTATCTTTATAGGTATATGCTTCTAAACTGTTGTGTTCTGAGCACCTCTGTAAAAACAGTGATTATGTGTGAGTGAGGTGAAAGAGTTGAATGATGAAAGTATTTTCTTTTTGGGGATTTTCTTTCTTTTTTTGGGTCACCCTGCCTCAGTGGGAGACGGCCGACTTGTTAAAAAAAAAAAAAAAAGTTTACCAAGTATACCAGGAAAAGTGTACAGTAGGGTTATTATTGAAAGAATTACAGGTAAGACAGAATGTAGAATTGCGGATGAGCAAGGAGGTTTTAGAGTGGGTAGGGGATGTGTAGATCAAGTGTTTACGTTGAAGCATATATGTGAGCAGTATTTAGATAAAGGTAGGGAAGTTTTTATTGTATTTATGGATTTAGAAAAGGCATATGATAGAGTGGACAGGGAAGCAATGTGGCAGATGTTGCAAGTATATGGAATAGGTGGTAAGTTACTAAATGCTGTAAAGAGTTTTTATGAGGATAGTGAGGCTCAGGTTAGGGTGTGTAGAAGAGAGGGAGACTACTTCCCGGTAAAAGTAGGTCTTAGACAGGGATGTGTAATGTCACCATGGTTGTTTAATATATTTATAGATGGGGTTGTAAAAGAAGTAAATGCTAGGGTGTTTGGGAGAGGGGTGGGATTAAATTATGGGGAATTAAATACAAAATGGGAAGTGACAGGGTAATATTTAGTGAAGGGGTTCAGGAAAAATGGTTATTTTATATAACCGGACTTGAGTCCTGGAAATGGGAAGTACACTCTAAAGCACTCTAAAGGAGGGGTTTGAGATACTGGCAGTTTGGAGGGATATATTGTGTATTTTTATATGTACATGTACATATATACTGCTTCTAAACTGTTGTATTCTGGGCACCTCTGCAAAAACAGTGATTATGTGTGAGTGAGGTGAATGATGATGAAAGTATTTTCTTTTTGGGTCACCCTGCCTCGGTGGGAGACGGCTAACTCTGAAAAAAAAAAAATGAAAATATTAATTCAATACCAACTACAGTGGACAGTGATAGCAACATAATGTGCCCTTCAACTTTATCATGAATGGGTATCTGCATCACAAACTGAAAAATCTTTCCCATTTTTCTTGCAACATCTGTTGAGATGGAAACCAGCACTGAAAAAATCTGAGCAAGATGAGAGTCCAAGGGAAAAGAAGTGGCTGCAATTTAATGCGCTAGTGTTATGGAATATGGCCTGGTGATACTAAGCTGATAGTAGTGTATTACATTCACACAGAAAGCTTGGGGTCATACACTGTCTGAGAAATGGAAGGCAATGAGGTTTGATTTAAGGAAGGGAAGGTCAGGTTCAATTCCTTGAGTCAAAAGCCCTTCACCAACATCAAGGAAGTTCTTTTGATGGGGTGCTAAATTGTGAAGTACTGTACTTTGTCTCTGAGATTAAGCCAATTCTGATCAAAATAATATAACATGCTATCTATTTTATGTTGTCTACTATCTTGTATTACTGATCTACTTTTGACTTTAGGTATAGATATAGAGGGTGGGTTAAAGTCTTTTTTTTTTTTTTAAAGAATTTTTAAACAACAGTCTGATTCCTGTAATCACAATTTTGAATGCCCATTATCTAACAAATTATTATTATATTCACAAAAGGTTGGAGGGAGGGGGTAAAGGAGGTTTTGTGTGCGAGGGGCTTGGACTTCCAGCAGGCATGCATGAGCGTGTTTGATAGGAGTGAATGGAGACAAATGGTTTTTAATACTTGACGTGCTGTTGGAGTGTGAGCAAAGTAACATTTATGAAGGGATTCAGGGAAACCGGCAGGCCGGAATTGAGTCCTGGAGATGGGAAGTACAGTGCCTGCACTCTGAAGGAGGGGTGTTAATGTTGCAGTTTAAAAACTGTAGTGTAAAGCACCCTTCTGGCAAGACAGTGATGGAGTGAATGATGGTGAAAGTTTTTCTTTTTCGGGCCACCCTGCCTTGGTGGGAATCGGCCAGTGTGATAATAAAAAAATAATAATTCACAAAAGAACACCAAACTTGTATTAAGTCATACAATACAGGTTTGGTGTATTTCTCCTGGGCCTACTGGATTCCTCTCAGGAATAATTTTTTCCAGTCTACTCATATAACTCTCAACACTGCTGTAGCTCATTATTATTCACTGTATGAATTTCATCCAGATGACCATTCAGTTTGGGAAACATGAGTCATTCAAATGTCAAGCTTAAATGTATAAAAGAGGAAATATTTTTTCTTTTGTAGTCTATAAATTGAGTAAAGATGATATTCTCACCCCATATTCCTCTTCTGCATCATCAAGGAAGTCTACTGCTGCACTGTAACACTGGATAGCCATGGAATACTCATCTCTGTTGAACCACCAATTTCCTCGTTCACGTTTACGATTCCTGAAATAAATAACGTAAAATAAAAAGAACTTCTTATTCTTTTTAGTAATCTTTACAGGAAAAGGGGTTACTAGCCCATTGTTCCCGGCATTTTAGTTGACTTTTACAACACACATGGCTTACGGAGGAAAGATTCTTATTCCACTTCCCCATGGGTATAAAAGGAAAAGTAATAAGACCAAGAACTATTAAGATAAAATCAAAGAAAACTCAGATGAGTGTGTATAAATAAATGTGTACATGTATGTGTAGTGTGACCTAAGTGTAAGTAGAAGTAGCAAGACATACCTGTAATCTTGCATATTTATGAGACAGACAAAAGACATCAGCAATCCTACCATCATGTAAAACAATCACAGGCTTTCGTTTTACACTCACTTGGCAGGACGGTAGTACCTCCCTGGGTGGTTGCTGTCTACCAACCTACTACCATGTTGTGTATCTTTATATGTGTATGCTTCTAAACTGTTGTATTCTGAGCACCTCTGCAAAAACAGTGATAATGTGCGAGTGTGGTGAAAGTGTTGAATGATGATGAAAGTATTTTCTTTTTGGGGATTTTATTTCTTTTTTGGGTCACCCTGCCTCGGTGGGAGACGGCCGACTTGTTGAAAAAAAAAAAAAAAAAAAAAAAAAAAAAGAACTAGCCTACTTTAACCATAACAAGCTCAGCTCCCTCAAGTAAGCTGTGAGTGGTAAATTTTGGCCTAGATACGGGAGAATGGGTTTGTGTGGCGAGTGTGCATGGTACATAAAATATCCTGCCCCATGCGGTGCATGATGGGAAAAGCAAATAGCAAATTTGAAGCATTTTCTTGGATGGCTTTTATGGTTTTATTGGTGTTTCTTATCATCTGATGTAATGGAAAACATACTAATGCAATAGAGATGATTTTGGTTGCTTTCAGGACTGGCAGTAGTTTGAAATTGGGTTGAAAGTAGTGAAAATATTTTATTTTTTGCTGATTTTCCTTAGAACAGGTAAGGCCCCCCTCTACACCCCCCTGGTCTGTTCTATGGATTTTTAATATGTCGAATTCAATTACTGGGATGATGTAAACCATGACCAATCATTCCTGGTTATATTTTAGTATCCAAGATATAGGATAAAGCTTTGATTTTTTGTACAATTATGAATTCAAAATGGAACGCAAGTGCAATATAGGAGAAGCCTGGGGATGTGATTAATGAACAGAGGAAATATTGTTGTAGTTCCTGGAATGTCTACATGGTATATTTTGTACTATGTTCAAATTGGATTTTTTTAATTTTATGTAAAATTGGCCAAAATACTGACTTATGTGCACCTTACTGGGTAGTTGTAGTAGCTGAATGGGCAGTTTCTTGTGCTCAATCGATAGAACAGAATGCATAAAAGCAAAATAGCTAAGAATCTGATTGAATGGATTAACCCTTTGACTGTTTCAGGCCCCTCTCTGAAACTGTCATTCTATGTCGCTCAATTTTTGAAAAAAAAAAAAATTATTTTTTCTTATGAAATGATAGAGAATCTTTTCCCGATGGTAATGACACCAAAAGTTCGAAATTTGGTCGAAAACTCGTGGAATTATGCTCCCGCGAAGTTAGCGGTCTCGGCGACATATGCGTATCGGCGATTTCGCCGACTTTGAGCCCTATTTTCAGCCAATTCCCTTGTTCCAGTTGACCAAACTCATAGCTATTTCTTTAGAACTCCATTTTATCTATCAGCTGAGTACAAGAAACCTCCCATTTACTAATTTGGACTACCCAATATGGTGGTCAGAAATTGGCAATTTGGCCAATTTCACACAAAATAAAAAATATGCCAATTTCAAAATAGGGTCCAGAATAAACAAGGTAGACATTCGTGGCACTAAAATAACATATGCTCTGTTCATTAGTCACATCTCTAGGCCCCTCTTATATTATTATTGCTTTATATTTTGATTTTTTATTCATACAAAAAAATACAAAATTTACTGTTATGCAGACGACTGCATTATTGTAAAAATGGTATAAATAATATCAGTGCACTAGTGAAAGAATATTAGACTCCCCAGTTGACGTGTATTGGACGTGTGGTGTGATTTATTTACTCTTGAACATTGGTAAAAATCGAACATTTCCGCTACTTTGAGCTCAGTTTCAAGGTCGTTTTCATCGTAAAAGTAATGAAAATCATCTCTATTTCTGTAATATGTTTTCCATTTTATCACCTAAGACCATGAAAACGCGAATACAACGATAAATACTATACGAAAATACACCTCAAAGTCGGCGTTTTATTCCAAAAAAACGATCCGAGTTTTTTTTTTCTCATTACGCAATGTGTGCTGCAGGATTTTTTTTATGTGGTGCACACTGACCACACAGACCCATTCTCTCACATGTGGGCCTACCAGCTTTCTCCCACTTGATTTGAAGCCGCTAGAATTATTGAGTATATATACGTCAGAAACATTGGCTCGTAAGACGTATTTATACGTCGAAAACAGTCAAAGGGTTAATGGAATTGGCTTAAAATAGGGCTCAAAGTAGGTGAAATTGTAATGTGTAGATTGCACTCAGACTGCTAAATTTGTGCCTGGGTAATTCTGTAAGTTTTCCATCAACTTCAGTACTTTAATGTCTTTACCATTTAATGTGTCTACTCTTTCAGAAGAAAAATAATAATAATAAAAAAAAGAAAGTGGACACAAAGCAATATTAATTTCTGTGACAGTATAAAACAAATTACAGCAATATTTAAATACACATGGCCAAAAGCATTTAAATGACTCAGACATACAAAATTTTCTATTAATAACAGCTATTGATTCACATTACCTCCAGAAGCCTAACCCTGCAAATTACGGGATTCAAGTGAATAACTGGGAACCTATTGTAAATTCACTATAAACCTTCATTCATACATCCAGGATTCCAAGTTTATATGCTACTTTCTCAGGAACTTTTCATAATGTACAAGCTAAAGAGAATACTTTACCACTGAGCTCCATAAACTTTAATCATTTATGTATAGCTTACCCAATGACCATGCGTTCAGAGATGGGTAATGAACCAGGTTCCTTTTCTGGTGCAAAGTCCAAGAGTTCCACCCTGTAGGTTATATTACTGTCTGGTGGGACATCTGGAGGAAGACCCTTACTTCCATATGCAAACCTAGAGGTTTTTTGTACATGGAAAGTTTAAAAAAAAATTTGAGTATATACATATATATATTGTAAATTAAAATGTAAACCACACTTTAGAGCCAAGCTTAAAATGGAAATATACATGAGAATGGGTTAGTATTTGTCAAAACGGACCTCATACATAACATTCCTACCGAGAACCTTTGTTTTCTCTTTGTTTATGTCAAATGCTGTATTTAAAACACACACAACCTGACCTGACTTTAGCTTTTTCCTCATCTTGGTTTTCTCCTACCCTTTCACTTGATCCATCTACTGGTCTTCAATCATTCTCTCCCTTGTGAAATAACAAAGGTACACTATGAAATTAAGCATATCTAAAGATTTCCCTCTGAATTCTAGGTTAGTACTTTATGGTCTTACAATGATAACCATTCTCACTTCCCTCAAGCTCTGGAATATTTTTATGAACAAGTTGCTTTCAAATTATTTCAGTAAAAAAATTGATAATAAAGTTTTGAAATTATTCAAGGAGTATTGTGTCCTGTTTCCAGACAAACTTGTTAACCGCCAATGCTGCCCATACTATTACATGAATGATTACAGTGGACCCCCGCATAACGATATTATTTCAATCCAGAAGTCTGTTTGGGTGCCGTTATAGACCAAATTTGTTCCCAAAAGAGATATTGTGAATTAGATTAGTCCGTTTCAGACCCCCAAAAATACACCTACAAAAGCACTTACAAAAATACACTTACATAACTGGTTGAGTTGGGAGCTGATTGTTATGCGGGGGGTCCACTGTATATTATTTATTCTAGAGTATATATCAGGTTTCTATGTTATTTATATTGTTTATTATGTCATATTATTACTAAATTTGAAAAGAGAAACTTTTGTTTTTCTTTTTGGGCCACCCTGCCTCGGTGGGATACGGCCAGTTTGTTGAAAAAAAAAAAAAAAAAGTCATGATAGATGAATTGTGACAGATGATATTAGTGAAATATTGAAGTACAGTGGACCCCTGGTTAACGAACTTTTTTCATTCCAGTAGTATGTTCAGGTGCCAGTACTGACCGAATTTTTTCCCATAAGGAATATTGTGAAGTAGATTAGTCCATTTCAGACCCCCAAACATACACGTACAAACGCACTTACATAAATACACTTACATAATTGGTCGCATTTGGAGGTGATCGTTAAGCGGGGGTCCACTGTATCTTGTGCCTCCTGAGAGCCGGGAATGGATTAATTGCATTTAATTTAATTAATTTAAATGAGGAAAATTGACTCTGAAAATGAGCAAATCCAGATGTGAGCGAGGTCACGGAGCGGATTAAACTCGTGGGTGGAGGTTCCACTGTACATTGTGAAACTAGGCATTTAGTCACCCTCTGTAACATGAATGGCCATGTATGCTATAGAGGGATGATGTATGCAATACTTCAATAGGTAGAATACATGATAAAACACATGTAAAATGATTATCAACTTATGTGTATAGTGCAAATAGGCTTAAAGATAATAAAATCTTTGCCTCAATAAATGACAATGTACAGTACAGTACAGTACAGCCTCTCCTCACTTAAAGATGGAGTTCCATTCTAAAGACTACATCGGTAAATGAATTTGTTGCTAAGTGAGAAGCATACTATAGTGGTAGTGGGTTTGTGTCAACCATCTCTGATACTGTTTTAATGTCACCTTTGTACCATTTATAACATTTCTGGTATAGTTTTAAATGTTTATACAGCAGTGTACTGTATATTGTAATAAACAGAATAGAGGAAATCAGCTCTAATATACATTATTTAGGTATGCATACTGGTCAGGGTCCGTTGTAAGTCTGAGTCATTGGTAAACAAATACATCCCTAAGTGAGGAGAGGCTGTACTGTACTAATAATTTGTTAAAAAAGGACTATATTATACGTACTTTATATTTACTATCACAGAGGTTACACATGTCCACAGATAGGAGACAAGGTTCTCCACAAGTCACAGTTTAAGGGTTAAGAAGCACACCATTGATAATAGTGGCGTCCTGTCATCTGAATACTGAAAGTAATATGAGGCACAATCTTTGCTATAATGTTATGTTATTAACAGACAATTTCACATTACTGTACCTGGATGCAACAAATACTTCAGCAATTTCTTCTTTATCCATCAGTGGTGCAATCATATCCAAACCCATAATCACCTACAAAGTAAATACTGGTATAATAAAATTAAAATGTCAAGTCAATTAATAATTTGAAGAAAAAATTAATAAACATACTAATAGCATAAATTAATTTTAAAAGCACAATGCTACCCAATGCATCTTAAGTTTAATCTCAATGAATGAATCATTAAGAAAATACAGTTGCTTTATGACCCTTGTGGATTTAGCACTTAAGTTTTGATTGTAATAATAATAATATTTTGACTAACCTCGCTATCTCCGACTGTAAATGTCAGCTGCTTATGTATAGCCACCTCTTTGCCATTCTCTAGTCTCCCAAACACATTCATTATGACAGTACTTCCCTTGAATGGTCTTGAGTCTACAATTCCAGCACTGATCACCTGCAAATACCAACACATTGCTTTATGCATCATTAAATATTTATGATCAAATATTCAGAAAACATGATCATTAAAGAATTTTATGAACATGAAGCAAATACTGTACTTAAAAATGTGACATGTGAATGAAAAGTTTTTCATAGTTTATATCCTAAGCTTTATATGCACAGTAAACTCTTTCTCTAAGGGTCTTTATGTTACCTCAACCCTTCTACGTCTCTGTCATATCCTCCAGTTACTAAGCACACCGGAGTTATGCCTTATTTGTTCTGCTTGCCTTCCCCAAATATCATGAAAACTTTGTTAACACCTGTCACCAACAAAACCACACAGGCCCCAGCACTTGCCTAGCAGCATAACAAAAACCCTTGATATAAAGGACTAAGAGGGAAAAGCAGGTGGCTAGTAAAGACAACTGTGGAGGATAGAGAAGAGATTGCTTTACCATGATAGCAACAGGAAAATTCTGCAACCAACAGGCTTTATCCATAATTTCTAAATCAAGTCATCCAGTGGAATCTGTTCCATATTTCCAAAGTCCACAATATAGAGGTCCCTCACATCGAAAATTTACTGTGTATACATTATAAATTATGATCAAGCAGGTTATTATTAGTTACCATTCAGAGATTAGGAAACAGTATACATAAAGAAACCTCTTGGAATTTTACTTATAATATGTAGAAAATATATATCGTACATTAAATTTTAAATGATTACAAGTTTACATTACCTTATTTTTATTGAAAGGGGTTATATACATGTACTGTATATACTATATTCAGTATCAAATATTAAAAAAATGCACTATATACAATCTTGAATGAAGTCAACTGAAAAAAATAAATGTTAGAAGAAACCAGGAATAGTTGCAGCATGTGTCTCAGTCAACAATCAACAGAAGTGAATTTTATTTTAAATTGACATATAACTCATTGAGAGTGAGGTACAGTATAGTGTCAATGAGGTTATTAAAGAAAAATTATTCACTGACAAAAGATGTTAACCCTTTGGGGTCGACAGGTCCTCTCAGAGACTTGTTCTCAGGGTCGGCCAAATTTAAAAAAAAAAAAAAAATTATTTTTTATGAAAAGATAGAAAATCTTTTCCTGATCATAATGACACCAAAAGTATAAAATTTGATGGAAAACTTATGGAATTATGCTCTCGCGAAGTTAGCGGTCTCGACGATGTTTACGCATTGGCGATTTTGCCCAATTTGAGCTCTATTTTCAGCCAATTCCAGTGTACTAGTCGACAAAAATCATAAATATTTCACTAAAACTCCATTTTTTCTATCGAATGAGTACAAGAAACCACCCATTTACCGATTTCAACTATCCAATAAAGTGGTCAGAATTTAACAATTTTGCCAATTTCACACAAATTTCAAAAGATGCCAATTTCCGAACAGGGTCGAGAATAAACAAGAAAGACATTACTGGCACTAAAATAACAAGTTCTCTGTTCGTTAGTCACATCCCCAGGTCCCTCTTATATTTCTTTGGCTTTCCACTTTGAATTTTTATTCTTAAAAAAAAAAACAAAATAAGATTTACTGTTATGCAGACTACTGCATTAGTGTAGAAATGGTATAAATAATATCAGCGCACTTGTGAAAGAATATTAGACTCACCAGTTGATGTGTATTGGACGCTTGGCATGATTTGTTTACTTTTGAACTTTGGTAAAAATCGAACATTTCTGCTACTTTGAGCTCAATTTCAAGGTACTTTTCATTGTAAAACCAGTGAAAATCATCTCAATTTCTGTAATATGCCTTCCATTCTATAAAATGAGACCAAGAAAACTAGAATACATCAATAAATACCATATGAAAATACAGTGCAAAGTGACTGTTTTAATCCAAAAAACACAGTCAAAGCTTTTTTTTTCTCATTACGCACTGTGTGCTGAAGGATTTTTTTTATACTGCGCACACTGACCACATAGACCCATTCTTACATATGTAGGCCTACCAGCTTTCTCTCACTAGATTTGAGGGTGCTAGAATTTAGGCGTACTAGTACGTCAAAAACCCTGGGTCATAAGACGTACTAGTACGTTCGAAACCCTCAAAGGGTTAAAGACATACAAAAGCAATGTAAGTAAAGAGAATGACTATGAAGATGCTGTATCTGAAAGGCCATACACAAATTGTGGATTTGTGTATTGTTTTAGCCATGATATTATGACTTTTTATTCTTTCTGAAAGGGCATCCTGAAGTTAAATTAGAGTAACAGTATGAGGTGTGTGAAATGGAGAGATGGGTAGGATGTTATATACATTGCTGGATGGAGGATGTTATATACATTGCTGGATGGAGGATGTTGTGTGTAGGCTGGTGGTATGAGATACAAAAACTTATGCATAAACAAGGTTGCTTGGGCCATTTCCTACACTGAAAGCACAGACATACCTTACAATATATCCTTCAAAAATGATATACTGTAGTATAATAAACTTAAGGAGAGGAAATGATGCATTTACTACTGTAATGCTCATGTCAACTTTTTTACATACCTTTTTCTTGAGGTCTCCACTACCAATTACATCTAGCCATTCATCGTCTGGTACATCTGTTTTGTCTTCTATATTTACATTCACTTCTTCCACCTTCTCAACCTTCACCTCTTTAGACTGATCTAGTTCAGGCATCTTCTTTGTGGCTGCTCAGGATAAATATACAAGTTTTCAATTTACAAGGTGGTAATACTATACTGTGCTGTATCTAAAGAATGGGTTTAATGTTCCAAGGCTCCATTTAAGGTCCCACATCTGGAAGGTTCCAAAGACCAATCGGGACACACAAAATTGTTGACACTGCCTTTAACCCATAGGTAAACTCATCGTCATCTTCAAGTAACTAATCAAAAAGCCCTAATACTTCCCAAGGGAAGTGAGGAGTTGAGATGTGAAGTAGTATAGGTCTAGACATTGGAGAGGGTGATCTCTAATGGCTCATATGTAGGTTTAATTCATAAAAAACTATGAAAGGTATGGCAGAAGCACAACTAAGTTCCTCTATTATTTCGATGATGAATGTTCATGATTAACTAAGTAAAGGTTAACAATATAATTGATGCAATTTTCTAATTTTGTTTTATTTTCACAAAATTAAAATTCAATGATTTTAGGTATAAAAAAAGATTGTCAAGACAGATCGAGATACCTTTAAAATTAATTCAATTTCACACAAGTACAAATATTCTACATAAACAGTGCATCTAGTACACCAGGTACAGGTCGGCCATCACTAATCTGGCAATCAGTTATCCGGTTCCATCAGTAATCCGGCACTAATTTCGGCTAGCATAATTTCAAATTTCATCGTTATACTCACTCAGATCATTATACTGACTCAATTTTCATCATTATACTGACTCAAATTTCATCATTATACTGACTCGGATATTGTGCAGATGGTTGTAAATCCACAGCAGCAAGCCAGTGGAGGAGCAAACAATGATGAAAATGAGGAAGTTGTAGCAGAAAGAGTTTCTACTGATAGGTTAAGTGTATTCTAACCTAACCACTCTGTTATTCGGCAAACTCACTAATCTGGCACACTACAGGTCCCAATGATGCCGGATTAGTGATGGCTGACCTGTATGACCAATATTTCTGAAGAATTGTGTGCCTGATAAAAAAATGCAATATTTTCTTACAAAAATTATTGTACAGATACTGTAGCAAGATGACAAATGACAGGTGACAACTTGAGGAGAAATGGATATGAATGCATTCAATGGAATGAATTGCAAGAGGATGTAGCAAGTACTACAATCATTGAAAAGTTTAAAAAATTATATGAAATTATTAAAGATGGGACACCAAGAGTATAGGTCTATTCCTGTAGTTATAAATCAGTAATTATAAATAGGTAATTATTTAGGATACTTTTACTGAAGACGTTTCAGTTCTTAGACCTTGATTACTTCAAATACGTATATTTGAAGTGATCAGGGTCCAAGGACCAAAACATATATGACAAAGGTGTGCTAAGAGAATACATTCACATACACTTCCAGCAGATTGTACAGATTATTCATGGGGAAGATAAGATTTTATTCTAATTTTTAACTCAAAGAGGGTTAGCCACCCAGGATAACCCAATAAAATCCATGCATCATTGGGGAATGTTGGCTTAATTTCCACTGAGGTCCTTTAACCTTCTCCCCCAGGATGTGACCCACAATGTACCTACTAACTGCTAGGTGAATAGGGGCAGCAATTGTTAGCAAACATGCCTAACATTTCACTCATGCTGGGGAGCTATCACTGGTTGCTCAGGGACAGATCCAAGGAAGGGGAGGATAGTGCCAATTCCCTGGATCAAGATCTCTTCAGGAGAACCATGGCAGCTCCCTATCCTTGAATGGATTAAATTGCAAATCATGGCTACAAATGTTTGGAAAGACCCCAATGGAAATAAGCCTGACTTTTTTTGGGGTTATCCCAAGTAATATACACTATGTATAATAATTATACTTATGTATACCTATACCTAAATAACTTACTGAAAAAAGTACAGGTCAGGCATGGGTCAGTGGACACACTGCTTTGCTCCACTAATCTTATAGAAATAACTATTGGGTTATCTGTGGATAAAATTATCATTACTATTGTAAGGTTATAATGAGTGTGGGTAATATAGAACAGTGCAAATTATAAAGAATTTGCACTGCAGTGGGTCCACTGATTCATGCCAGACCTGTCCTTTTTTCAATTAGTTTATTTAGGCACAAGTACACACAAGTACAATTATCATACATAGTGTAAATTACCCAGGATAACCCCCCCAAAAAGGCCAAAGTGATTTATTTCCATAGTAATCTTTGAAAATACTTTGACTCCGGGATGACGCTGGTGAAGGGCTCTATTTTTATAATCAAGGGGGAGCGCTAAAACCGTAGGATTATACAGCGCCTGTGGGGGGTGAATGTGGAAGGTAGTCAGGCAACTGGAACACAGATCCAATTCCCTAGATCAAGAGCCCCTTGCCAACGCAAAGGAACCTTCTTTGAGGGCTCTTGATCTAAGGAACCGGAACTGTGCTTCCCTTCTTAGATCGAACCTAAATGTCTCTCATTACCCCCTCCCCACCTCAGTTGTACGAACCCCACGGGTTTAGTGCTCCCTCGTAAATAATAACCCCCATAATTTTTTCCTCCGCTCAAGTCATGATGGTCAAGCACACGTACACACGCACAAAATTACACTCCTCTTACTCCAGTTTCCACTTTATGGGGTTTACCACTCTGGGAGAGACTCCACTGTGCGTACTAGTACTAGAAAACTAGGTGGAAGAGAAGGAGTTAGTGATGAAAGATGTTCTAGAAGTCTCTGAGGAGGAGCAGCAATGTTGACATATATCAGCTGCTGGCCGCCTCGTCCCGACCCTCGCCATGACTCTGGCTTCAACATTTCCTCATACTTTTACCCCAACGAATACGTAATGGAAACTCGGATGCACATGTATATATACTCTACACCAAAATTTTTATAGTATATGAGAAAGTCTAATTGATTACTACATAGTCGCTTTTTATGTCCTGTGATTAGATTAAAATCTTCACGAGTGTCTACTGATTAGAATAATCAAATCAGGATGACATGCTTAGTCCAATGTTCAATTTGTTTTAATTCATCTTACCTCAGTACATCTGATTTTCAAGATTTAGCGCTGCATATTTCTTCTCTCCCGATACATATTACACTTCACAAGGTTATAACAGGAACTGTGTTTAAATATGGAACACTCACCTGAGAACACAAGAGAAGGTACTGGAGAAAGTGTTAATGTTCCCAACTAAACTAGTCACACAGCTAAGAATTATGATCTATAAATCAGTATTAAAATGAACTTAACCTTACAACACTACGAGAGAGAACCAGGGAAAATACATTTATGACTAAGAAACTATGAGGACTGGTCACAGACCGGGCCGCGGGGGCGTCGACCCCTGGAACTCTCTCCAGGTATACTCTACTTTTCTTCTCTGGCCAAAATTTTGGGCATCCTATACCTTTTTCAAGCGAAAAAAATAACTGTACGGCAACGCATGCAAAAGGTCTAGTAGCTGTATCTCAACATACTTAAGAGGCACAGGAGCTACAGCTCAACCTCTCAACATACCTAGGGGCTACAATAAACTTAATTAATTCAATATCCAAACAGGTCCAGAGGCTGGATATCAACACCTTCGAAATGCCCAGGAGCCTGAGCTCAACATACTCAAGAAGCCTAGAAATGGTAGCTTAAAACTTTCGAAAGTCCCTGGTCCTCAAGAGGGCCAGAAGCTGGAACTCAACCTCAACATAGTTTGCACGAAGTGCTCTGTATAACCAGGATCTTACTGTAGAGTATACCCATAATATTATTTTATCTGACAACACACTCCCCTGTTCTTCATAAATCTAAACTTACTTAAAATACATAAAATTCACTCATATTACTGTGCAAACTACAAATACAAGACGATCAATTCTAACATCCGTTCTGCTCTGTGACTTTTTCTTGATATCTACGACAGAACTCATTGGCATAATACTAGACACAAAAATCTTTTATGATATTCCCCGATTCAACCTGTGTAAAAACTGTATTCCTGGAGATAAGATAAGATTTTCTTCGGATTTTTAACCCTGGAGGGTTAGTCACCCAGGATAACCCACTGGGGTCCTCAATCTTGTCCCCCAGGATGCGACCCACACCAGTCGACTAACACCCAGGTATGCCTATTTGCTGCTAGGTGAACAGGACAGCAGGTGTATGGAAACACGTCGAAATGTTTCCACCTGCCGGGAATCGAACCCGGACCCTCCGTGTATGAAGCGAGAGTTTCAGCCACCAGGCCACCGGGCCTACCTGGAGAAGGTTTCAGGGGTCAACGCCCCAGCGGCCCTGTCTGTGACCAGGCCCTGAAGAACCTAAAATCTGGAACTCTGTCTGATGATCCCAGAGTGTCCATGTATCAAAACACCTCCATCACCTGACTGTCGTCCTAGCAACCCTGTCACTCATCCATTATTATTCCTGGTCTTGTTTCATTCTTCCTTCAGTTTTCGTTTACAATTAAAAAGGCATTTTTTGTATCAACTCAGGTACCTTGCTTTATCCTTAATGTATCATTAATTAGAATTTTATATATGGAAATACTCAATACTTTTAATATACTATTAACAAAATATTAATTTATTCTCATATACTATGTCTTATAGTCTAGGAATTCTTAGTTTTAAGGCTGCCCGAAAAAAATAGAGGCCAGTCAAACTAAACTAGGTTGGCTATGGCCGTAGACTTTTATCTACTAGCAACCCTCTAGACAGGGAGGTAATAATGATGATGATGATAATAATAATAATAATAATAATAATAATAATAATAAACTTTTATTTCTACAAGTATATGTACAAGGTATACAGGCTACCTGACATCAGTGACATCTATATAAAAAGCCGCTTGTTATTCAGAGTATTTCGGGCAAATCAGGTCAATTTTGTCCCAGGATACGACCCATACCAGTCGACTAACACCCAGGTACCCGTTTTTATTGATGAGTGAACATGAACAACCGGTGTCAGGAAACATGTCTAATGCTTGCACCCTTGCCGGGAATCGAATCCGGACCCTCAGCGTTTGAAGCAAAAGCTTTTGTCACCAGGCTTCGAGATCTCCATCATGGCAACTAATCAGTGATCTTGGTCCGGGTGACCCATCACTCACGTCTTCAACTGTCAGTCTTGTCTTGGTGAGACAGCTGGAGACGTGACACAACAAGGTACAACCTTTGTCTCCTGGGTGAAGGTTCCTGGACACGTCACAGTCACAGTGCTCTTTCACATCCAGGAAATACCTTGGGAAATCCTTCTACTCACCTTCCACTCTACCTTCATCCACCTGGGAATCCTACTTACCTGTTTTCACTTTCAAGGCCTAAATAATAATTACATGGACACTCAATGTAAATAAGTCACTTTGACTTTTTTGGTTATACTACAAAGTGTAAATTATAATACACACTATGTATGACAGTTGTACTTTTGTGTACCTGTGCCTAAATATACGTACTTACTGTGTGTGTCTAGACAAACTGGGACTGATCACCCCAGATATCCCACTTTATTAAAGGATAAACTCTGTCTGCTGTCCTACATCACGGAAATGTGACACAGACCTGACCTGACCTGTGGTCACAACACCACTAGACCATCTCAGTATACTGAAAGGAAAAAAACTACACTTGAGAGTTTATAGAGGTTGACCATTTGATTTTTATTTTCTACGATTTCAGAAAATCATATTTTTATGAGTAACTATTATATCTCTAAGAATTATAATTAGTTTAAAATTGTTTATAGTTCTAATATTATTTATTATATCGTACAATATTATCCCATCAAGGGTAGGACGGCTTGAAGTTGAATAAGGGCTCTTGACTCGAGGTATCTGAGCTATCCTTACATTCCTCTGATCAAAACGTGATTACTTAGGGCTCTTGACTCGAGGTATCTGAGCTATCCTCACATTCCTCTGATCAAAACGTGATTACTTAACAATATTGGTTGGTTTTAGGGGGTTAAAGCCTATCGACTACAAGAAATGATCAGTCACAGGTCGAAATCTAGATCAGTAACACTGTCAAACTTGTCTTGGGTACTGGAGGATCCGGTGGTGTGAATCTATCATCAGCAGAGGTAATAAGATAATGACCGGGCTGCCTCAGTATATCATTTAGGAAAGCATTAATTAGTATATTGACAAGAACTGGAGTGAGGGCACCTTTCTGTGGAGTTTCTGATTCAAAGTCTGGTCAAAGTCTGATTCAAAGCCTGGTCGCAGACCGGGCTGCGGGGGTGTGGACCCCCGAAATCCTCTCCAGGTATACACTCCAGGCATACACTCAAGGTATACACTCCAGGTATACACTCCAGGTATACACTCCAGGCATACACTCCAGGTATACACTCCAGGCATACACTCCAGGCATACACTCCAGGTATACACTCCAGGTATACACTCCAGGCATACACTCCAGGCATACACTCCAGGTATACACTCCAGGTATATACTCCAAGTATACACTTCTATACTCCTGAAATAACACAAGACTGTTGTACAGGGAGACCTTGATGCAGAGGTGTAACCATCCGTCTACATCCATTCCAGCAGAGTTTGCTGTATCAACTACAACTTCCAAGTTAAGGAAGGCAGTAGAGGAGGTGTCAGTGTGCAGAGGTGAGGAAGGTAGCTGAGTAATGCTACATACTAACACGCACGTCAGGAGAAAATGTTACAATTTCTCCTGGCAGACAAAATCACACCACCAACTTCCGGACTCATCAAGGAGGAGGAGAAGGTAGTTCACCTTTATTAAATTACAAATAACTTTACTTAATATAAATTTTATACAATAGTACGTTTATTACACAATCTGCTCGAGTACATAGAAGCAATTATCATTTACAGGAGGTAGTGTTAAAAATTTTAAGGTGTACATTTATATTTCAGACACCTGTGTACACAACTGCAGTCACGATGTCTGGTCATGTTATTATTTATATCAGTCAAATTAATCTTACTTTATGACTACTTTGGTTATATGACATTTTTTAGTCATCAGGCAATTTTAATTTCCTAAGGATAGCCGCATTTATACTAGACAATATACACATGTGTATAATAATACTCATTCAAGTCTAATTTAGCGCATGAGGGAGATCAATATTTTAAAAGTATACAGTTCAGTTCTGTGTTTATGAGACTGGTACACAAGACAGCAGTGCACACATGTGTACGTAACACCGTGTACGTACTCTGTTATGCATCAATAGAGGAAAGTGGTGAAGGTGTTGTGTGTTAGAGTACAGACTGAAGTGACTAGACTGTGTTAGAAATACAGAGGATGTATATGACACAGTTGAGAAACCCAGGAGAACCTGCCAAGTATACGCCAGCAGGAACCTGCCTAGAGCACGAGTCAGCAGGACCTGCTTGAGTCAGCAGGATCTGCTTGAGTCAGCAGGACCTGTTTGAGTCAGCAGCACCTGGTTGAGTCAGCAGGACCTGGTTGAGTCAGCAGGACCTGGTTGAGTCAGCAGGACCTGGTTGAGTCAGCAGGACCTGGTTGAGTCAGCAGAACCTGGTTGAGTCAGCAGGACCTGGTTGAGTCAGCAGGACCTGCTTAAGTCAGCAGGACCTGTTTGAGTCAGCAGGACCTGCTTGAGCCAGCAGGACCTGGTTGAGTCAGCAGGACCTGGTTGAGTCAGCAGGACCTGGTTGAGTCAGCAGGACCTGGTTGAGTCAGCAGGACCTGGTTGAGTCAGCAGGACCTGGTTGAGTCAGCAGGACCTGCTTTAAGTCAGCAGGACCTGCTTGAATCAACAGAACCTGCCTAACAAGACACGAGCACATACATTCATTTAAAAAGACAC